GTGAAGAAATCAAGAATAGACCCGCTGCCTCCCTAACAAGCATTTTGTAGGAGTCAACTAATTGGGAGCTCCCATCGAAGTTGGTTCGCATCTGCCCAAGCTGCAAGGAAAAACAAACTGCACACAAATAGGCAAGTAAAACGCATGTACACTCAAAACTCTGGCACAAAGCCAGAGTCAAAATGGACGAACAGCCAGGACTTTTCACTGGAACTTACAGCCGGGGAACAAAGAAGAAGTAAAAGAAGATTTTTCAGGATCTCATACTGTATGTCCTGCCCCAGATATAAGCCAGATGGATGGATTTCATTTGTTCATTGAAATACACAGCCGACTTATTGAATTAGGATTTAATGTATACATAATTGCAAATAAACAACATTATTGATGATAATGTTTGAATAAATATAGATTATTAATCTTAAAAAAAAAAACATCCCTAGAAAATATGCCCCAGTAGATTTAAAAAAAAGGAAATCATGTAAAACCCTGTATTATTTTTTGGGGAAATGTAATCACCTTAGTAGAATAAGAGGTTGAAGGTTAAGTTAACTCCATGCTGAGTCTGTCAAAGGTTTGTGAAGTGACTAGCTATTATTGTTGTTATAAAACCTGTGGTACAGAGAAGTTCACTCTTGTACACAATACAACAATGAAATAATGAGACTGATTTTATTATGGCCCAAACAATAATGCCATCCATGAAGCAAAGCATATCATCCAAATAGGCACCATTTTTTCCTCGTCTAGCAAAATTGAAATGCCATCCAGTCAGTAGGACATTTTCTAATACCTATAGGATTGATTTTAAAAAATACAGCTGAATGGAGTTTTGAATCTATGACACGCAGGCCAACAGGCAGGTATGCTGGCCAATATGCATTCCCGGACACAGTGCAAAAACTGATTGTTACATATTATTTTTAATGCATTTGAATACAGGTGAATGTTATCCAATCTACTCCCATTGGACATAAAGAGAACATAAGCACGGTCTTCTGAAACTGTATTACTGGGCAAGTTTCAGATATCTGTTTAACTTACAAACAGAATTGAATTTAATAGGTTGTCAAATGTTTGAAAATCAAAAAAAAAAAAAAAAATACAGAAACTGATACAAATTTAAAAAAAAAACAACCAGGGGAGTCGCCCTGGCTTTGGCGGCTAGATGCCGCATGCGAATTGGAAGGTCATGGGTTCGTATCCCTACGGAGCCGAACAAAAAAAAATGACCTGGACTCCCAAGTCGACCAAGCCTTGATTGTGTACCAGGTGCAGTCCTGGAAAGTAAAGGTGGCCAGCGTGATGCTGACCACATCACCCACCAAGTGCCGATTGGTCTGTAAAAAATATAGGTCTAGCCCTAAATTCCCAATACACCTAGAGGCGTAAAAAAGGGACCTTTATTAAAACCAGAGTATTACTTTGGCCTTAAAGTTCTGATAACTTTATTACAAGAAGAAACCACTATAAACAGTGATAGTTCTGAATGTTAATTCTTGTAATTTTTGTTTGTTTAAAAATCTCCCTTGTTTTGTATTTTAGCGGGTTTTCCATATCAGAGGATGCTCAAGTTGTTGTATCTGATACTGAAGCTGGAGTTTTTGCATTTGTAAGTCAGCAGCTTACATTGTAGGATCACTGAATGAATTATTTTCACACGTCTGCTAATAGGAGTGTTTGCTGAAATCATCTGTGTTGCCACAGTTTAGGCAAACATCGTATTGTGGATAAATCTATAAATGCTTTGAGTTCATAAGCAATATTTTGTACAGTAGCTAATTTTGCTAGTTCAGATGTGTTTAATGAATCTTTGGAGTCTTAACATATTAACTTTGTTTCATTAAGCTGACATTTTTTAAAGGCATTCATAACACTGGGTCAATCCACTCATTGATCCATCGCTGTAGTGGCAGCGACGGCTAGCCTGTCTGCTCTTTTATTGCCCATAAACCTTGATTATCCAAGCTGTTTGTACATTTTATTCTCATTCTGCTTTACTCCCCATTGGAGCATACTTCCAGAACCAACTCTTGCCCTAGACCAAACCCGTGCTTCTTCTCAACATGTTGTTCATCCTTCACAAGTGATGAAGACCACTTATCCTCCAAAAATAGTCAATGATCAATGATTGTGACTACGAAAATGGCTGAATTTGAACCTGAAAAGATCCTGAAGGCAACTTATAATGTGACAGTAGGGGTGAGATTTGCTACAGGGTACTTTCTAGTCTGACTGTTTTCTCTGCCAGTGCAACTTTCGCTGCATGGCAGGATGATGTACCTTGCCGGAGAACTGTACACCTTTCAGATTAGTCTTGTACAACAACCCCACATGTTTCTGACCTAATGCCAAAGGATTCAAGAACAATTTTGAGAGTGTCCTTATAATGTTTACCTGGGGATCTTTTCCCATTCTTGAGTTTTCCTCTAAGCAGTGAAATATTCTCAGCAAAACTCCTTTATGAGCTACTGACATTACAGTTATGAGAAAGCCTAATTTCCCTGGTGTCTGCATTATGTTACATCTGTTTATGCTGCTAAGAGTAAGACCCCGACTGAAGCGTTGATTTGTTTTGTGCATATAGTTCTGCTTTCCCATTTCGTTAAGTTTTTTAGTCACAATTCAGTGGAATAAGTTCCTGCTAATAGTAGACAAATCAGTATATTTGGAGTCAGCAACATCTGAATGTGGACTTAGCCAACATTTGTGCAGAAAGGGCAAAATATTGTCCAAACCCATGTTAGCAGTGCTTAGAGGTAGCATTGGACCATTTTCTACATATCATTTTGGCTGTGCCCACAGGAAAGATGCCTGAATAGTAAATGATTGGATGGCTGTGCCACAAAGATACCTTCAGATGATACCAATAACTTTAATTAGTTAAAGAGATAGATTCTCCTTGTAATCACACTGATAGCAGAATTAATGACATCATAGCAATTATCTCTTTAGGTCCATCATTTGGTTTTGTATGACAATACAGCAAGAGGATTTGTACGGCCTTATTGTATTGCCTTCATCACCACTGATCAAAGGTCAGTTTTTTTTTTAAATATCGTCAATTGTTTTTTATTTTTAATACTTTATATATATATATATATATATATATATATATATATATATATATATATATATATATATATATATATATATATATATATATATATATATATATATATATATAATATATATATATATATATATATATATATATATTATATATAAAATGTATATGAGTGACTAAACACATTTGTATACCTCAGAAGCGGGGCTTTTTTTGGCGGTACATAATGGAATACAGTACTGACGCCTTAGGCACAATTTATGTTTAAACACTACTGCAGTAGGCACTTTATAGTGAGTACAGTATTAGTAGACTACTACAACATATAATTATACTGTTATTTAATAATTAGTAAACAAGCACAATCAGTATGAAATTGATATGTGCAATACTTTTTTCACCCAGAGTAGTTTTCTTAACAGTACTTATAGCACTACTAAATATGAATCCTCAAGGTACAAACAGCACAAACAAATTTGTCCAGTTTAATCTTGTTGGATGAAATCAATTCCTTACCATTGCGAATTTTTTTGTAACAAATATGCATAGGAAGTGGATGAACAACCAGAAGTTTTCGCAAGAGTTTACAGCCAGTGTTCGCGAAGCAAAGCAAAAGCCAGTTTACAAAAATTAACAGACCGTACAACTGCAAATATGCAAAAGAAGTCGATGAACTACCAACAGTTTCCACAAGAGTTTACAGCCAGTGTTCGCGAAGCAAAGCAAAAGCTAGTTTACAAAATTAACAGACCGTAGAACTGCAAATATGCAAAAGAAGTCGATGAACTACCAGAAGTTTTCACAAGAGTTTACAGCCAGTGTTTGCGAAGCAAAGCAGAAGCCAGTTTAGACAAATTAACAGACCGTACAACTGCACATATGCAAAAGAAGTCGATGAACTACCAGAAGTTTCCGCAAGAGTTTACAGCCAGTGTTCACGAAGCAAAGCAAAAGCCAGTTTACAAAAATTAACAGACCGTAGAACTGCAAATATGGAAAAGAAGTCGATGAACTACCAGAATTTTCCGCAAGAGTTTACGGCCATTGTTCGCGAAGCAAAGCAAAAGCCAGTTTACACAAATTAACAGACCGTACAACTGCAAATATGCAAAAGAAGTCGATGAACTACCAAAAGTTTCTGCAAGAGTTTACAGCCAGTGTTTGCGAAGCAAAGCAAAAGCCAGTTTAGAAAAATTAACAGACCGTACAATGCAAATATGCAAAAGAAGTAGATGAACTACCAGAAGTTTCCGCAAGAGTTTACGGCCAGTGTTCGCGAAGCATAAGTTAAATGGTTAAGGATTAATATTATTAGTGTACTGCTACAACATATAATTATACTGTTAGTCAACAATTAGTAAAGAGGCAAAGAGTGACTTGCTGTGAGAGGTTAGTTAGTAAATTAAATATTTTTTTCATCCACTTACCTAGAGCTCCAAAATATCTTGACACAATTTATCTACACTGTGGTTGCACCATTTATGCACAGTCAGTATGAAAGCAATAGTTTTCTTTTAACACAAGGTAGTTTGCACCTGAAAACTGTCAATATTCTCCAGATATGGCTTCTAAATTACCTGTTTGTAAGGACTGAATAATTAGAGAAGGGTGTGATGTAGATAATCAAAAACAAACACTCAGTACTGGTGCATTCTAGTGCATATCCGCACGCGACAGCACAAATACACAAAATCACCACATGCGAGATGGGACACCTGAGAAAAGCTGTGAGCTTAACCATCTGAGATCGAGTGAATTATAATACTGTCAGACAAATTGTGGGAAAGACACCCTGTATGAGATTCATCGAGAAACACCAAGTCAAGTGATTTGCCCGTCTGCTGCAGGATCAAATACAGTCACAAGCACTACATCTCAGAAGATCATCTACAAGATCAAAATGACGGCCGCAGGAAAATATGGATCGAGAACATTAAAGACACTCTACGCCTACGACACTTACGGAAGAAGTGGTTTATGATGATGATTACGACTCCAGGTCTTCGTGTTTGTGTAAAGAGGAAAATCACTGGTACGTTTTTTGAATGGGACAAGATGGATGATGTTGATAACAGCATATAATCAGTTCTGTGAAACTTTTCCACAGGAAACTGATGCGCTTCTATGAAGAACTCTCTTGGAAGTTCAAAAAGGTAAGTTTTTATTAAGGTTGTTGCGTATCCTTTACAGGACGTTGCAGAACCAACCCTAACAGCCCCTGGCTGTTGTGTGGTTTCTCTAGGCAAATTACGTCCAGTAGTTTGCCATTGCTTTCTGGACGGTCGGCTTTTTTGATACCACTGTCGAAACCAACGCAAGGCACATTGCCCGCAGCTGGGATCGAACCCGGCATTACGAAGCGAAGTGTTCGCATCGACTTAGCCACAGAGCCGACAAGTTTTTATTGGTTCATCTTAAACCTAGCTATGGTGGATCAGTGGGTAGAACACTGAGTTATTCGATCGATGGCCTGAGTTTGATTGAACGCCTAAAGTTCATTCCCAACCCTTTCCCCATCCCACAAGAGTCCCATGTATATCAGTGTGCATGGGAACAATAACTTAGCATATGGAGAATATAAAGAGTAAGCCATAAGAACCCTGCCCTGGCAAAATTATTAGGTAGATAAATGTCATTACCTTGAGCAGTTTATTGTCTAGTCAAAGTCAAAAGTTTAATGAAATTGGACATACTTAACTCTTTGAGTCCCAGGGGGTTAAGCATCACAGGCCCAATGGGTAGTAAAGAGAAAGTAAAATCGACGTATCATGCTTTCATTGGGCTTCTACGGTGGAACCTATGAACGTATGATGCGTTCCCTGGGACTCAAAGAGTTAAAGAGCGTAACTAGATGTGATACATTCATCTTGGCACAGAAATAAAATTTGTTTACCATATATTATTTATAAATCACAGATAACATTTATAAATAAATGATATGAGCACCTGGTATCATTGTGCCATTTTAGTAAAAAAAAAAGTAAAGTTCCCTTTTCACACCTTTCGGTGCATCGGGCATATGGGCAGAGCGTCCCATATTTTTACAGACCATCAGCACTCTGTGGGTAATGTGGTCAGCATTACGCCGGCTGTCTTTACTTTCCCAGGACAGCCCATCCTGGTACCCATTTTAGGCTGGGTCGACCTACGACGTCCCATACCACGATAAAAATCCACGCAGCCCACGCAGGTTTCGATTGCGGTATGCTGGCTTACGAGTCGGACTCGCAACGCCTTAGCCACGGACGCCGCATTTTAGTAATGACATAATAATGTAAATGCAAATTACTGATCTTATTTTATTTTTACTTAAGTGTAGTTTAATAATACATATAAATAAAATTAGTTTCATATCCTTTATAGGTTGTTGCAGAACCAACCCCAGCATTTTTTGGCTGTTTGATTTTACTTGGTAACTTTATGTTGTGCAGCTTGCCATAGCTTTCTGTATGGTCAGCTCTTGATACCATTGCTGAAATCAATGCAAAATAGTCTGCTGCGAAATTACCTGCAACTGGAGATAATCCGGGTACCACAGAATTAACAAGCAGTGTCCACAATGCCTAAACCACAAATGCAGACACACACACACACACACACACACACACAAAATTGTTTTTTAAGAAAACTGCAAAACAGACATCCAAGTTAACTAACTCTTTGATGTTTATATTATATTAAAATGTTTTATCCAGGTTGCCAGATTTCTGAAATATGGAAATAAGATGGTGTTTGTTGGAGATCTAGAGAGACATTTGAAGGACCTGGAATATACTAAAAGTATTGCTATTTTTTTTTTAATTTGTTTGTGTATGTAAAATGTACATCTTAACAAATTGACAAATTGAGTATCAGGCTACACTTACCTTGAGAATGAACATGAATGTGACTGGAAATATTGGCAAAAGAACTGCACAAATTAACAACAACATATGTTTTAGTTTACTTTATTTTCCTGTGATGTTTGGAACGTTTCCTGTGAAATAGACTATTTATTTTCATTTGTTGTCTTAAACAATAATTTTTGAACTTGTCTAATCCGTTTATAGGTCAGACTTCCCAGTCAACATTTCATGTTTTGATGATTACAATCATCACTTTTTCCTGTAGATCCTCTTTGGTCCAACACTTACAGAGGATCCCATAAGTAATCATAAAAACAAACTTAAATGAAAAACTGACTGAGAAGTCTAATCATGTCAATAAATGCTGGGAAGAATTTAGATGTTTCAGCTGAAAGGTGTAAATATTTCAGCTCTGCTGCAGACAGGTGCAGCATGATTATGCCCAATACAAAATATATTTAAAGAATTTTGATAGAAAAATGACAAAGAGCTGATTAAAGCCTTACGCTTCCCTTCAAACGGATATCACTTAAACTAAACACGAGATCTTAAATTCTATATGTATTCAACACTGCTGTATGAAATGAACGTTTGGATCTTGACTAACAAGACAAGGTTTAACTGAAGATTTTAATATTTGGGTTTGCTGTACACTAGTACAAGTTTCTTAGATGTGAGAAAAGAAAACACCTAATTATTCAGTGTATTTACAGACACACATTAACACATGCACGCGCACACACACACACACACACACACACACATTTTAGAAAGACCAGTTCACCAGTCCCAGATAAAATTGTTGTTCACCTTATATGGCCAAGCCATCCAGGTTTCGTTGTCTTCTTGTTTTGCTTCTTTTCCCCAGCAAGGTTGGCAATTTTCACATACAAAAATTGTCTATGCCTAATTTCTGTAATAAAGATACAGATTTGATGTTTATCTTGAAAGAATTTAATAAGGACCGAAGGACTTTGATTATGATGATAAAGAAATGTCCATTGTTTCAGATGTTCTCTTAAACCAAGTATGTAAGATCCGTCTACGACATGCTGAGGGACAGGAGGAGCATATTCCGGATGCTCGCAGAAACGCAGAGAATGAATTATACAGAGGGCTGCAGACGATACAACAATCCAGCTTGGAGATCAGAGAGATTCTATCTGTGCTGAAGCCTCTTATGGTAAGTTGTCAACTTCTTGCCCCCCTCTCGCCGTTCTTCGCTTAAATAATTTTGTCTATTGCCACCGATTTTTATTTATCTTTTTTCTCTCTCTGTTTCTTTGTCATTCCTTTAAATCCTCTGTATAACTATATCTCTTTTTTTGTGTTCCTGTTTATATGTCTTTCACTGTCTCTCTCTCTGTGCCTTTATCTTCTGTCTCCTCTCTTTGTCTATCTATCCTTCTCTGTCAGTGTCTGTGACTGTTTGTTGCAACAAAGCTAGGTAACTTGTAATAAAGCTACATCACGTATCTACGATAATCCTGGATGAGCTCCCAATTGTGACCAAGCTACATAACGTATCTACTTTGAAGCTTGCACATTGCTACTTGCACTGCTTCTGCTGTCTAGGATTAACAACACAAAACAGCTCTCTGTTTCCTTTATACATTCTATCAGTTTATTCCGACAATTATTCAGACACAGTCATCACTATTCGCTTCCACAATATGTCAACACTAGTCAATAACTCGATATTGAAACTACATCTTAAAATATGACAACTGTCTTCTTTGACTTCTGGTATGTAACTGACCACGAGTCAAGGGCCAAAATTTTAAAAGCGGGGATCATAATGGGCCAGATGCCTGAGCCCAAGCAAAGAAAATGATTAACATGATACAACTGGCAATGATCAGTGGGCCACTTGTTAGGTTTCCACGGGCCAGGTTTGGCCTGCGGGCCACCAGTGAATAGTCTTGCTGTAAAGGATCTCATGACTGATGATGGAAAACAAAAATCTTCAGAAATTAAACTCTAAAGCAGGTTGAAAAGCTGTTTGATTTAAAACATTTGTTTTTCAGCCAGACCAACGATTAGAAAGCCGATTCAGAAAACTGGAAGAAAGAGCGTACCAAGGAATTTCTTCTGCAGGCGTGGACAAGCTGAGTCTACCAGAGAGTGGGTTTGCTGATCTGTCAGCTGTAGATGACCTAGATCACAGATGTAAGTATATACAAGTCTAGTTTCCATGTCTTCAGCTGGACTTGATCTATGGTTCTAGCTTCACAATTTGCAGACCAGTCGACAGTTGATGAGTAATGTGGTCAGTGTCATGTTGTCACCTGCACTTAGCAAGATATTTCCTAGAAAGACACAAACTTACTGGTTGAAACAAATAGTCAACAACTAGGAGCAGACTAAAGACACACATTTTTGCAAATAAATGGGGTTGTCAGAGACTAAGAACAGACTAAAAGAGAGTTTCAGGGACCTCCTTTATTAATATACTTTCTATGGCTCATTAGGTAGGCTAGCTAACAGACTTCACTAACCTAGGACACACTTAAAACACACACACCTACTGAGTACACAAATAATCTGCAGTTTTATGGTAAGCAACAGCCTAAAAGATACAAATTTGCCGATTGAGTGATATTAGGAATAGGCTAAACAGGAAGAAAAAAATGACACAAACCTGCAGATTGAAGGTGAGTAACATACGAAAGACCCAGACCTGTAGCTTGAAGACCGAGAACAGACTAAGACAGACATAAATTTTCCCATAGACTGAATATAGTCAAAGACTTTATTTAAAAAAACACAATTTGGTTTAAAGGACCCCCCTCCCACACCCCACCCCCAATCCTCAGTTAATATATTAACATCTTGATCTCTTAAATGTTTGCTTAAGCCTTAACATAACCAATAACCATAACTATACAACTCACAAACAGATCACTATACACAAGTCAGAAAAGGGACATTTATGGGAGGTGGACTCAGCTGGAGCGTGTGTTGACAGGGTTAAAGCAGAAATCTCAAGAATCAGTGCAGTATAAATTGTTTATAACAGCTTTGACAAGCACACTATGGTGTGTGTATATATATATATATATATATATATATATATTAGGGCTGTACCGAATATTCGCTTCGTATTCGCTACGGGGCCGAATAGTGAACCTATTGACTATTCGGTATTCGGCCGAATAGTTGCGGTCAAGCCGAATACGAATAGTAGTTACCTTCCACCCGCTTCTGCATACACGGCCCTAATGCTGACAACATGGAACGATTGGTTTTGTTGAAAGCTAACGCAGCTTTCCTGCATTAACTAAACTGTCAGTGACAATTTCAAGTTTATTTACTTGTTATAATACTTAGGATTCTTTCATTCCTAGTTATTAGTTACCACAGACTGACTGAAGGATGCAAAACTTAAAATGTTTTTAAATGTTTACTATTATGTACAAATACTAACTAGACATGGACAGAATATAAACTCCGGCCACATCCAAGTCGATAAAATGAAAATCAAACGAACAGAAACATATAAGTACTTGGGTGCAAACTTCAACTGCCCCAACATGTTGAGAGAAGAAATACAACCTAGAAATAAAGTATAATATGCCCTTCAACATCTACTAAAGAAAAAAGTGTCTGTCTCACAACACCAAGATCAAATAAATAAAACGATTAGACCAGTCGTTTAATTGGCTCTGAAACTTGAAGCAGAAATAAAAAAGATTAGGCCTTAATACAGGTTTTCAAAAACAGTCTTACGACAAATCTTTAGACCCATCAAAGATGCTAACAGCAGGGAATGGAGAGTGAGAAGCAACAACGTAACACATAATCTGTTTAAATCGCTATTGATCACTGGCATCATGAGAGCTAACAGACTAAAATGGTTGGGGCACATTGAAAGAATGTCAGATGACAGAGAAGTAAAAACTGTATATACCTGAGAGAGGATGGGCGTAGACCACGAGGCAGACAAAAAATAAGTTAGAGAGATAATGTCCAGTCAGACCTGCAAACAACTGGTGTCACAAACTGTGAAGAGAAGGCCAGCCAGAGAGATGAATGGAGACAAGTGATATCTGCAGCAGTAAACCTCAAGGGTTCAGAATGATTAAGAAGAAGATGACAATTATGTGCTACTTTATGTGAAGTAAAAGCTAAGCGTATACATTTGACATTATGAATGTTCTTTTTTTTTTAGGTATATTTAATACACTATACACTATTCGTATTCATATTCGGCCGAATAGTTGGTCCCACTATTCGTATTCGGCCGAATAGTGAAAATCACTATTTGGTACAGCCCTAATATATATATGTGTGTGTGTGCGTGCGTGCGTGCGTGTGTGTGTATATATATATATATATATATATATATAGTGAACAAATTCCACTATTATCTCTGTTCACATGTTGCCAGGTGGCTCTTTGAGTGAACCAAGGATCTCTCCACTGGCCCTGTTCAATCCTAGAGAATACAAAGTAAGTTACAATAATGTTTTATTCTCTTGTCTTCTGGTGTTTGTTTGTAAATGCAGGCATCATAGTGCAACACAAATGATACATTACACACATGATACATGGTTGGCTAGTTGTGGTGTACATTTTCTGAAAGAATTTCTTTGGCTGTGAATGCAAGACACACTGTTTATATTAGAATAAATGTCTAGACTAATGCAAAATGAAAAAAAAAATCAATACAGGTAAAACACAAAAATCAATAGCAAAATGCCATGTAGCCTGTAGGGAACTGTAATAGTGCAGTAACTTGCCTACTAGCCCAGTGATCATAGGTTCGGATCCATATTTAAGTAGATATTTAAAAAAGACCTTGTCAACTGAGTCTAAAAATGTTTTGGAAAGTAGAGATTAACTGTTCAAAATCCACAAAATTGAGCATTTCAGCTTGTTCTTTATAAAATGTGATTATGTCTGTATACTCAGCGCACCTGAAAGACATGGAAAAGGGTCCTTTACTTTTTTAAGTTGTTCTTGTTCATTTGTTATTCGTTTTGGATATAATTTACCGTGTTTTCCTTGGGCGTGATGACAGTATGAATACAATGAAATTATTTCATTTTACTAATTTATCTAAACATGTCGTCTGTTTACTTACTAACATTTAAATACTAATAAGACAGTTGTTTATTGTAGCAGTATTCTAATATTATTTCTCAACAATCCCTGATTACTTTCGTGTATAATATGTGTATGTTATTGGGCAGCTGAATTAGTATGGTCTGTTTTAATGTGTTACACTTGTGAAATTTCAGAATTCCATTACCACCCATTTATCCTCTGATGCTAAACCCACTGGGACTCAAAGAGAATGCTTGAATATATGTAGAAATGTGTACTTGAATATATGAGATTTTTGTACAGGAAAAAATTAGACACTCCCTGAAAATAACATGGCAGCTGATGTTGTTGTCTCTATCACTGACCAGCCTGTCCTTGTGGAAACCAAAAAAGCAAGGCGTTTTAATGCTCCACTTCGAGGGCTGCATGAATTGTGCTCCTGGGGAGCCAAAGAGGGACTGAAGAAATTGCGACACATTCACATGGTTAGTATTATAGCTGTTACAGTGTTTGCTGATACTTGTTTCTTTCTGCTTTCTGCAACTGTATTCCATCAGCAGTGTGGCAATGTTGTGAAGCTGAAACTGAAAAGTGTTGAATTAACTCTTTCAGGCCCATAAATTTTTGAGGGGTGGGTCTACAAGAAAGGCTTTAGAGAATGTAATATACTTCTAATCCCTTTAAAAATGTATATTTTGAAAAAGAGAAATGAATGTACATTTTGAATCTGATGATAAGTGTTTGTTTAATTTTGTTTTAGTTAGTAGGAAAGAAGAATTCAGCAGGTGTTAATTTCACAAGGACAACATTTCACACAAAAATTCTTCACTTACCATGGTTTTGCAGCCACAAGAGTAGCAAATATCCAAATTTGAGAACAAAACTTCAAAGTTTGTTCAATTTCCTAACATATTCCAAAGTTATGATAAGTTTCTGGGTTAGTTTAGCACTCAGGGGCTCTTAGTTCTCACAGAGTGCTGAGCAAAATTTTAGAGAGAAAAATTGCTGAAAAATGAGCCATTACACACACACTATTTACTATTTACTTTGTACAGTTCTTTACAGACTGTAGCTGCGATGATTTCAATGTAGCTTAGCCACAGTATATAGTACCATCTATTTGTTTAGAGCACTTTCATTCTCTTACACCATAAATACGGTAGCAATGGGACATTGTGTAATAAACTCATCAGAATCGCTAGATTCCGAACAGCTGATCGCTCAGCTTCGCTGGTAAATATTCACCGTCCGAATCACTTTCCAATGAATCTAAATTTTTATTTTCATTATCACAATTAAAAACATCTGATTGAAACAATTTCAGAGCTTCGGCCGCAGACAGACGCATTCTGCGACCTGTACTTGTGGTTGGAACATTGGTATTCATGGCACTAAAAAACGAACTTAGAAAATGCAATGTTGAAAAAAAAATTCGCTGTTATTTCTATCAAATTATGCACATGTTTCGTGGGGTAGGAAATGAAACTAAAAGGATTTTGGCAGAGTGACTTTCCCTGAATAGTTTAATCCTACCTCCAAACATTAGAAACTAGTACGGAGGCGTGTGCAAAGCAAAATGTACGGGACACACGATCGACGATGACAGCGTTGTTTTGGCAAAACGGCCTTAAAGAGTTAAACCCCCCCCTTTGCTGGGGACACCCTCAGGTATATTATACTAAACTAAAATTTCAGCCAAGATCAGTTATAAAAGTCCACCGGAAGTGTGATTCAAACTCAAGACATTGTGGCTGGCATGCAGATGACTGCCAGCTACTTTTGTTTGCTAGCGATATTCAAGTGAAGGACTCAGATCCCCTTGTATTGGTTTCGACCGTGGTATAAAGAGCTGACCATTCAGAAAGCAATGGCAAACTACTGGTTGGCAAATTGCTTAGTTAAATAACAAACAGCTAAAAGAAATCTTGGGGTTATTTCTGCAGTATTCTATAACAATTATTTGAGGGTCTGACAATGTTTTGATGGTACTGTTTCTTTTTTTTTCTTTTCCAGCTTTATGAAACTTTAAACCAAAAACTGGGCTGTCATGAATTGGTAAATGACTACTGCTTTTATCAGAAGACATTAACACATAGGAAGTCGCCATGGCGGATCGGAAGGTTGTGGGTTCGCTCCCTGGTGGAGCCGGACTTTTTTCAAAAATTACCTTGGCTCCTAGGTCGACCCAGCCTTGAGTGAGTACTGGGTGCAGTCCTAGGAAGTAAAGGCAGCCAGCATGATGCTGACCACATCACCCATCTTGTGCTGATTGTTCTATAAAATATAGGTCTAGCCCTATGTGCCCTATACGCCTAAAGGCATGAAAAAGGGTCTTTTACTTACTTACCTTACATTAACACATAGATCTCAATACCAGGGAGAAAGAACAAGTATCTCCAGAGCTTAATCTGTTCAACCATTTTCTTCATGTTGAGTTTTGATTAGCTGGTTGACTGTTTTAAAACATTGCAGCATAATTGAAAGAAGAAGTGAGGGGGTGGTAGTATTGTTGCAGCTGGCTGTATGTAACATTAGAAGATAAATTAAATAATTGGGACAGAATGGGTAATGTAAAAATTGTCTGTTTTAAGCACGTTAATGTTTCTGTCTTCCAGTACTTCAAGAGAGACATGACTATACTTGAACTGGAGAAGAATGAGTCAAGACTGTTTCGTAAGTATTCTTCCTGAGCCTTGTATTCCCCAGTGGAGCCAACAACCCTCAGTCAGCTCCAGCTAAATTGTCAAATAGTTGACCATCACATTCAGCTCTTTTCATGTTTGTGTGTTTGTCTAACTGTTTATATGTCCGTGTGGGTGTATGATTATATGTGTGTTTGTCTGTGTAGGAGATGGTCAGGAGTGTATGTATGTAGATATTTGGATGACCCATGTACACATTATACATTGCATTTGTTACAAATGTTTTTTACATTAGGCTGTTACACACAAAAATACATAGAACAGATTACTGCATAAGTTACATTTCAATATTGTAAAATATACCTAGACAGAATATTTATAGCTTGCATTATCCTGGTATAAATATATAAATACATTTAAATACTGCCCAGAACAAACAAACGAACAAACAATCTTTATTTTCAAAGGGTTACAAATTGGGCACGCAGGCCCGTCTGACATTCGGCCCTTCTAAGCACTCATTTTTCAGAGTACCAATGCCATTATCAATAATGCATGTTATGAATATAATAAAGAAATATGCATTATAGAATAATGCATACACACATCATGTGTACACAATCTTACACACTCACACACACGTATATATACTCACATACTTACATTCTCATACATGCACATTCATATACAGACATACCTAATACATACATACACGCATCTACATACATACACAAACAGACAAGACACACACATACACATATTGCCATACATGCACATACACATTCATTCCATACATACACACCTACACATGCATGCATGCATACACACACATACAATCACATGTACAGACACCCACATACGCCCACAACTACACATTTACACTCACATGCATACATACATACATACATACATACACATACATACACACATCTATACATACACCTACATCTTTACACAAATACATACATACTTGCATACATACCTAAATACATACACCCATATACTACACTCACATACATACATCCCCCGTGTGGGTTCCGGGGCCCCATTGTGGGGAAAACAAGAATAGACCCACTGCCTCCCCAAAAGCATGTCGTAAGAGTCGACTAATTGGGGAGCTTCCTTTGAAGTCTGAGTGCATCTGCCGGAGAGGCAAGGAACCAACAGTCTGTATTCAAGAGAATGAGCTCTGTAAAACTGATGCACACGCAACACTCAGGTCCTGGAGCAGGACTGCGGTTCAGTAGTGGACGAGCAACCAGAACCTTCTGCCAGAGTTTACAGCTGGTGAACGCGAAGAAGAAGAAGAAGACATACATACATACATCCTCACTGTCAGTGCTACCCAGATTGAACGACTCGAAAAGGTGCAAAATGAAGCCATGCGCATTATTTTGGGATGTACAAGAGACACATCCTGTGGAGCAATGAGGTATCTACTCGACTTTCCAACAATGAACCAAAGGATCAGGATGTGGAGGGCTCGGGCATATCTCAAAATATGTGCTGATAAGAAACACCCACTGCATCAAGCGCTTTTTAGTGAAAATGGTGACAGACTGAAGAGGGTAAAATCGTGGCTAGGTCAGGCAGAAGATGTTATTAGGCAAATATGCAGCCTAACCGACATCATACCTGGCGCAGAATGGATACCTGTGCCTCAGGCGTTTATTTGTACATTTTCCTGTATTGTCACACTCAAAAGGCGATGTAGAAAAGAGAATCCTGTTGCTGTTAATGCAGAGGTCAATGCCCTCATCAGTGAAAATTCGGACGAAGCAGATGCACTAATCTATACAGACAAATCCGTTATACGCCAAAAAAAGAAGCGCATGGGCATTCACAGCACGCTCAGCGGGCAGAACAGTCAAAGAAGCAAACGGCGCCTTTTCCATGACAACCAGCAGCATGACGATGGAGGTGATGGCAGTGACGCAAGCGTTTGCCTGACTTGAAACACAAAAATACACCCTCGTATGTATACTCAGTGATTCAATGAGTATGATCCGGAGGGTTCAGGCAGGTTCAGTGCGAAGACAATGGCTTGAATCATTACAGAAGTCCACTGTGCATGGAGTCACCTTTATTTTTGTTCCGGGACACGCAGGCGTAGATGGAAATGAAAGAGCTGACAGGTTGGCTAGATCCGCTATCACTACCGACGGTCAGCCTATGGATCATGCTGATATTATCAATGCCCTCAGAGAAATGGGAAGGATGGACGACTTTGGTGGCAGTGAATCCACATCACTCGCCAGAATGGCAGACTTGGGAATTAAGATCGGCATAGCAAAAAACGAGACACACACCAGACACGCCAGAAGACTTGTTAATCAACATAGAACTGGTACTATTAGCCATCGGACGTTGGGGTTCATACTGAGGGGAGGATCTGAGCACCTATGGACATGTCCGGAGTGCAATGATGATAACCCAACTAACTAACTAACATACATACATACATAAACACACATACGTACACACATCTATACATACACCTACATCTTTACACACAAACATGCATACATACTTGCATACAGAGGGTGAATAAGTGTGTGAGTGTGCATGGTAAATGGGTTGGAGGAATGTGTGTGTGAGAAGGTAGAAAGGGAGTCTGTTGACAATAAATTATGTGGAGGAACTTTTGGAGGAAATATTACTAATGGAGTCCTGATCCCATTCAGTCTATATGTGCTGTGTTAAACAATGACCTTTCCCTCGAAGTCAGAGTACATCTGCCAGTGAGGCAGGTAATGAGAACTACAAACAAACAAGCCAGTAAAATAGATGAACATGCAAAACTCAGGTCCAGGTAAAAGCCAAAAGTTCAAATGGACGAACAACTGGGCTTTCCGCTGGAATTCACAGCCAGTGAACAAGAACAAGAAGAAGAAGCAGTGACCTGATTACATCTTAATATACTTTTCTATGGATGTGACAATCCAGTGCCAGTCTTGCATATCCAGCTGATGCCTGAGCTTGGAGAGGGTAACAAGAACTTGGAAGAACAGTTCTTTTTGAGACATTTTGGTTATTGGTTTGAGCGAAAGATCTTGACACCAATATTTTTATGTAGATGGAAACCTTTTTCAGGACTCAGGTGACATCGGGTCAATGCATCAGAGTTAAATCTCAGTCTTCAGTAGGATTCCCAAACAACAAATGCAACTGGCCATATGGAATTTGTTTTATATATATTTATACTAAAATTTTGAATATATACGTACGAGCATATGCTTATAATTTTTGGTAAGACTGTATTGTAACTTACTTGCGCTTTTATCATTCCATCAGGTCCACGTAACGCATGCATCCATCATGGCCATTGTGTAACTGGGAATTTTCTTGCTGGAGTACAGATGTAAGTCATCATCATCATTATCAAGTGCCTTGCCGACTGGCATGGGCGGCAATCATGCCTTTCCACAATCTGTGATCAGCAACCGTGTGTATCATTTTGTGTGTTGACACCCCTCCATGCCATGATAATAGGCTGTCAAGAATCTTCTCACATTTGTCTTTCTCTGTCTCTCTTTCCACAGATCTTTCCAGTGGTCACAACATGTTCTATTTTCCCTCTTCTCTCAAAATGACAAAAAAATGATGACTGTCTCTCTGATTTCTGTGATATGTTTGTCTCTGAACACTTGCTTCTTTCAAAACATCTGGATTGCTCTTCTCAGCTGTCCAAGGAATTCTAAAGATTTTTGTGTAAAACCACATCTCTGAGGCCTCAAGATGTTGTTTGGCTTGTTTATTTTTTTGTCCATGATTCACAGCTGCATGTTAAAACTGGCTCTATATAGCATGCGAGAATTCTTTTTTTTTGTCATCTCCAATGACATGGATTTATTGCACTAAATGTTCTTCAGTTTGTAAAATGCAGTTTTGGCCTGTCATATTCTATTCTTTATCTCTGTGACATATCTTCCATCTGACATTATCCATGTGCCTAGATGTTTAAATTTCTGTACTTGTTCCAAAATGATGCCTTTGACTCTTATTATACATCTAGGCACTATTATTTTATTGGAAATCACCATTACTTATGTCTACCCATTATTCAAGCACTTCACGAAAAGTCGCCCTATCCTTCATCTTTGTGCCAGGTCATGCTGGTGTTCAAGGAAACGAGCGTGCAGACTATCTTCCTGACACTGCGGTTGCTATGGCTGGTCCATTACTGGTCAGAAGTGATGTTATCAATGCCGTGCGCTCCACTTACCGTTCTGAGGAGCACGCCAAAGGGCATGACTCTGTATCCATGTCTAGACTGATGGACATGGGGGTACAACCTGGAGCTGCAAGAAATGAACATTTCACTAAGGGGGCAAAACGTTTCATTAACCAACACAGAACACAGACTTTTAATCAGGTTGCACCTGGTATCCTAAGCATGTTGATGCTTCATTGGCTACTGCGGAGGGAGACGGAGCATGTGTGGAAATGTTCCAAGCTCAGTGATTTCAATTCTTGATTCATTAATTCATTCAGTAGCATAGGATTCACTTGAAAACACATGTAGGTGGAAAATTGTACAGCCGACACACACACAATTAGATAACAGATTGTCCTGTACTAAAGCCACTAATGATACCTGTAGTTTGTGTTGTACTTTCATTCTGCAGGAAGAAATCTCTGGAAGCCACTGAGGAGGCAGAACAAAGCTGGTCTATGTTATGCAGCCATAATTGGAGTTCTTTAGGATCTGTAAATGGCTGTTGTTATTTTTGTATTACACAGTAAAGAGTATTTTAAATATTTTTCAATTTTCCAGTTAATTTTTCTTCTGCCTTTTGGGATGTGTTCCTGGGTATGCAGAGTTAACATTTTCTAGCCTGTGGTATAGAGGCACCTTATAGTTTAATGCCAGCTCTCCTTAATCACCCTTTAGGAGCTGCTGGCAGCATGATTGAGAACGCTAGGATTTCGTGTGGGAGACCCAGGTTAAATCCTATGTAAGGTTGTGGAAAGGAGACAACTAATGTTATACCTTAAATGGCAGCAACAAACCGTGTCTAGATTTAGAACGTATTTCTGTTGCCAGTTACTGTTTGTTATTTTAGTTTAGGGACATTAATGTTTTCTGATTCTACTCTAGGGGCATTACTGTTTTTTTAATTCTATTTTTGATTCTACTCTGGGGCATTACTGTTTTCTGATTCTACTCTAGGGGCATTACTGTTTTCTGATTCTATTTCTGATTCTACTCTAGGGGCATTACTGTTTTCTGATTCTACTCTAGAGACATTACTGTTTTCTGATTCTATTTCTGATTCTACTCTAGAGACATTAATGTTTTCTGATTCTATTTCTGATTCTACTCTAGAGACATTAATGTTTTCTGATTCTATTTCTGATTCTACTCTAGAGACATTAATGTTTTCTGATTCTATTTCTGATTCTACTCTAGAGACATTAATGTTTTCTGATTCTACTCTAGAGACATTAATGTTTTCTGATTCTATTTCTGATTCTACTCTAGAGACATTAATGTTTTCTGATTCTATTTCTGATTCTACTCAGAGACAGAGAATGTTTAATGTTTACTCTAGAGACATTAATGTTTTCTGATTCTACTCTAGAGACATTAATGTTTTCTGATTCTACTCTAGAGACATTAATGTTTTCTGATTCTACTCTAGAGACATTAATGTTTTCTGATTCTACTCTAGAGACATTAATGTTTTCAGATTCTACTCTAGAGACATTAATGTTTTCTGATTCTACTCTAGAGACATTAATGTTTTCTGATTCTACTCTAGAGACATTACTGTTTTCTGATTCTACTCTAGAGACATTAATGTTTTCAGATTCTACTCTAGAGACATTAATGTTTTCAGATTCTACTCTAGAGACATTAATGTTTTCAGATTCTACTCTAGGGGCATTACTGTTTTCTGATTCTACTCTAGGGGCATTACTGTTTTCTGATTCTACTCTAGGGGCATTACTGTTTTCTGATTCTACTCTAGGGGCATTACTGTTTTCTTATTCTGCTCTAGGTGACATCATTATTTTCTTATTTTTTGTGTTTTTTTGGGTCTACTGTGGAGACAATAATGTTTTCCTACTCTACTCTAGTCGGCTCTGTGGCTAAGTCGATGCGAACCCATCGTAATGCCGGGGTGCCGGGTTTGATCCCATCTGCGGGCCATGCGCCTTGCGTTGGTTTCGACAGTGGTTTTAGGAAGCCGACCGCCCAGAAAGCAATGGCAAACTACTGGTCGTAAATTTGCCTAGAGAAACCACACAACCGCCAGGGGCTGCTGGGGTTGGTTCTGCAATGTCCTGTAATGGAAACGCAACTAACCTTTGACTCTACTCTAATAAATTGTTAAAGTTTATTTAGCTTCATTGTTAATTTCTCCCTTGAAATACATAAAAATATATAAAAGGGGTAATCAATAAGCTTGCAAGCATCACTTCAGAGGTCCCGGGTAGTTAGCATCCTTTGGATATTTTCTCCATGTCATGCAGGTGTGTTGGGAAATGAGTAGGCAGATAGACTCACTGGCTCCGCACCACTTGGTGGTAAATTAATGAATGACAAACTAGATATCGTGAGGGCCCTTTGGGAACCAGTGAACAGTGTGGAGGTGCAGATAGATCATTACGGTATGAGGGGAATGGTGCTGCAAGGAGTTACCATTACATTAAATATTCAATAAACAAACAGAGTGAAGCATTAAAGGCAGCACATTCTTTGCGGTCTACAAAAACTACATGTATGTGGTGACTCGTGCCCTGATCCCCTGACCTTAATCACTGAGGCTTCTTAAAAATTTTTTATTAACTTGGCTTTGTAAAAGCCACTGGGGACACAAGAAGAGCCCTTGAGATGCTATAAAGTGGTACCTCGGACATGAACCTAATTCATTCTTTGACTTCGTTCACAAACTGAAATGTTTGTGAACCATAACAGTTTTTCCCATTGAATTTTAAGCCCATTTGCTCGCCCAAGACATATTGTTTAGATAACTTTTTTTTCTTAAATATGGATTTATGGGTGGCAAAAATATATAATATAAAAAGCATAATATATGATGCTGGAAGTTCACCCTTTAGCACTTTACTGCATTTAAAGATGTGCAGATTTTCAAAGTGGTAAACTGACAGAGGCCTATTCTTACAATCCCGACTCCCTTGCATTAGCACACAGTAAAAGTGTAAGCCTGTTCTTCATTGGTTTGTGGTCATGCAGTGACTTTTTCATTTGGTTTATTTAAGTTCTTCTTGACACCCCCGCCCCCAATGCAACTCCAATTTTGTCTCAGTTAAATACTTAATGAGGTAAGTAACCTTCAGGGTTGATAAAGTTTGTGAATTTCTTTACCTGGGAATCTACTGCTTTTTGGTCCAAACTAGCAGCCTCTCCTTGCCCAACAAGCCTATGAATTCCAGTCAGTTGACAAAATTTGTTGAACCAGCCTCTACTTGCTTTAAATTCATCATGCTAACCTCACTTGTGTTCGACATTTTCACCACTAAATCACCATGCAAAAGTAAAGCCTTCTAGTATATTAGGGCCTCGCTTACACTATTTCTGACAAGCTGCTTTTTATTAACCCAAGCTAGAATAATTTTTCTTCTTCTGACACTTGAGACTTTTGCTTCATTTTAACAAAGTAACTATTTCAGCCATATTAGCTTCTTTAGCGCATCTTTGTTCTTTAAAATAGTACAGATCATAGATTTATCCATGTCATACTGCTTGATGAGATCAGAAACACAAACCTGAGGAGGCTGTTCGCAGGCAAAAACCTGGCGCTTCAGTTGTGTTTGTGCATTTATGTGCCATAGCGTTGTTGGCAGGCCAAGTGAACATGTATTCGGAAGTTGTGTTTGTTGGTCGATTTGTTCGTCTAGAGGCTTTCCTGCCTGACTTACCGCTGTATTTAGTTAACATATTCACATCCAAGCCTCTTAAACATTATGCACAGACGCAGTTGGCACTTTGCCCTGTGGCTTCCAGCAAGGCTGCAATATCTGTGCCTCTTGACTCAGCACATCCACTTTTAGGAAACACCTAATTAATAACCTTTTATGGTCTTCATGGGTTAGGGGGCAGTTGGTCAATTCTTTGGTTTTTTTGGGGGGACTCCCCCCCCCCCCCCTTTCCACCTTCCTCTCTCTTAAATGGGGCCGTGGAACCCACACAGGGATTTATAGTATACAGTTGACAGGTGTTTATAAAGAAAGATGTTTGTCCCTGTTTCTTAGTGTGGCACACAAGGGTGATGATACTGTAAATAAGATAGGGTAACGTTACTGTACAGTCAGTTTTAGCTAAGAGTTAATCATTGACACACTTGCTCCAGCAGATCAACTCTGAGGATAGTTTCAAATCGGTGGACTCCTTTCCTTCTCCAAATGGCCTCACTGAAGCTTCACCATCATCATTCCACACCTATGATAGTTTAAGGTATGTGATGGTTGTTTTGTTGTCACCCTACATTGTCCGTCTCTGTTTAATCATTGATCACAACACAGTAAAATTACTTTCTTGTTAAATGTTGTACACTGTCCTCTTTTGAGTTCTAGGGATCACATTTTTAGGTAAAAAGGGAACAGACCCACTGCTCGCTAACAAACAAGGTATATAAGATGACTAATTAGGAGTTTGTTGAAACTGGATGTATGGGGTCCAAAGGGGTGGAAATCGCAGTATGCTATTACTGGAAAGTCTTAGTCAGTGCAATGAGCCTAGAACAATGGGCATTGTGTTAAAAATAGATAACTGGTGAGCTGCAAGGAAGGAGTCAGAAAAGTATCACAAGAGGGAAAGTTCCCATATTGGTTTAATTCAGAAAGGGAAATATAATTAACTCTTTAAGTTCCAGGCATGTGTTTCTTTGACTTAACATTTCCTAGGCAATAGTAAAAAGTGTCTAGATCTGAAGGGGTTCAAACCATAACACTATGGGACACACAGAACCTGAATTAACAACTGGGATATAATGAGCTAAAGCTGTATCTGAATAGGCTTCAAGGGGCCCAGAAAAGCATAACATACCAGGCAGCTACAGCAAAAGCACGGTGAGGGGCTTGCTACTGAAAGAGTTCAGCCTCTTATGAAAAACAAAAGCAGGGGCCATGTAGTGGCCAGCAGACTTGTCTTGTCGAGTTGTTAAATTAAAGTCAAGGATCTTTGTCCACACCTCCAGGTCTATTGGGTAAATAGGGCTATTCCTATATTATATAGACCAATCGGCACTCAATGGGTGATGTGATCAATATCAGGCTGACTGCCTGTACTTTTGAGTATTTAGCTGGTACCTGCTTAAGGTTGAGTGGACCTGGGAGTCAAGGTCTTTTTAAAAAAAAAAAGTGTTAGACTCCTTTAGGATTTGAACCCCTTGCTTTGGATCTGCAGGCGAGTGTCTAGTTGCTACACTGTGTCAGCTCCCCTTGATCTTTGTAATGTGCTTTAATTCGTTCCAATCCCACTTGAGCTAGTGATTTTTTGTTTGTTTTGTCTTTGCTACCTGGCAACCAAGCCTAAAAACTTTCTTCTACACTTTATTCCCCAGTGGAGCATAGACCCTCACCCAGCTCTCATTAAGTGGTCCTATCATTTGCTATCACACACAGTTCTCCCTATGTCCTCCCTTCTTTTTAACTTCACCTTCTGTTTTCCTTCTTCATGAGATTTTTGGTCTGCCTTTTTTGTACGCTCTTATGGGTCCCAACGTAAATCTGTTCTTTTTATATTGTTCTCAGGTTTTCTTGTGTCCAGTCTGACACCATTATCTTTTCTTGACCTCTTGATTTACTGGAATTTAATTATCTCCCAAAGCTCCACATTAGTGATTCTGTCAAACCATTTAATTCTGTCTATTCCACACTCTTCTCAGAATGTCTAGTATAGTGCCATATTTTTTTTTCTTATAAATGTTTTTGTTTGTGGTTGCCGGACATTTCTCTTATTTCATCAACTTCTCTTGAATTCTTCCTTTTTTATTTTCATCATTTTTCTTCAGGTATTTCCCTTCACTAAGTGAATAATTTTCTGTGGGATCTGATAGTGCCTCATCAATTTCATCAGAGAGATGCCCAAACAGTGCTGCCAAAGCTACTCTAAAATCAGACACACAGTAAATGTTCTGGATGGAAGCGTTATATTGGAAGTGATATTGATCATATCACACACCAAGGGCTGACTGGTCTTTAGAAGCATTAGATCTGCACCTGATAGCTAGTACCTGCTTGACATCTAACAGGTTCACATTTCAGGAAAACACTTTTCAGACAGAATACCCCTCAGACATAATACCTTTGAACATAATACAGTGTTTCACATTGTTTATCATTTTCTTTGAGGAGCAGCTGGCCAAGTTGCTAAGAATCCTTGTACCTGATTGTGTGATTCAGGAGACCTAGGTTCAGATCCTCACTAACGTGATAGATTGTTCTCTTTCAGTGACAAAAATAAAACCAGCACAGACCACTGCGACTGCACTAGTTGTGCATTCCTTAATTCTCAGGCCATTGTGACCATTCTAAACCAGCCTTAGATAATAGCAAATGCAGGAAGTATGGTAGGTAGGTAGGTAAGTAAGTAGGTAGCTGTACCTCACCAGGACATCACTCAAGCGATAAACACCTGGTGACACAAAGTGCCACCATGTGGATGAGGATCACCCGTGGAGAGGTCCCAGAAACCCCTTTCAGCCGTTAGGCCATATCTATGGCTAGGCTATATTCAGGACCCCTGGCAGAAGCCAGGGTGGGGCTTCAAATAACAAAAAAATTGCATCCCACATGGGGACGACTTTCATAATACAGGCAGTATGGATCATCATTTTGTTTTTATCATTCTCTCTAACTACCATTAGATTTGGGTCACAATTTTCTCTTCTTTGTTTTAATTTACTGTTAAAGCTTAAGAAATATGTGTTTAACTGATTTTCAAAACTATATTCATGTTGTAAATCGTAAAATGGATATTTTAAATCCATAACCTCAACAACATGAAAGAAAAGTTCAAACACAGTTTTTTTTCATCATGAATGCTTTGAAATATCACCCCTGAACCCTTGTAAATACTTGTTTCCAAGCCTTTGAGAGATAAATAACTCGATATGAATGTTCATGATAAATGTCTCTGGATTAATATTTGTTTGGAAATTTGAGAAGAATAAAACCAGGGATTGTAGGGTATTCTCTGTATGATTTATACATGTCTTTTGCTTTCTCTCAACCCATCCACAGTGGCCCAGCCTTCCAGTCAGCTTCAGGCTCACCAGAGAGAGAATTTTCTCTTTTGACCAGCGATGAATACTATCCTGACATGCCCTCCCACAAGACCGAGGCTGTGACCTATGTACAAGCAGAATCGCTGATCAGTAAACTACATAATGTCTCAGCTGAAAACATAGAACATTTTCTAGAAAATCTTGAGGGATACTCCATAAATGGAGATGAGGGTTCTGACAAGGACAAGGATTCTGATATGGGTGTTATGCAGTTTAACAGTGAATTAAGAGGAATGAATTTGAAAAACAAATGCAACATTTCACATTCTGATAGTTTATTTCCTTGTCTAAATACTGATATGTCACCAAGAGAAGCTGATATAACTGTAAACAAAGATAATACTCATCGAAGAGAGAGACTGAACTGTAGTTTTGTTGGTAGAGAAATGGAAGCATGTAATGAAGAATCAAATATTAGAGATCATCTTGCCAACAAAATAATCAATTTAAGCACAGTGAATCAGAACATTTCAGATGAAATTATAGATAATTGTCAAGAAGAAACATTGCTACGGAAAAATGATTTTTCTGCATCTGGAATTAGTTGTTCTGAAGTAAATTCGAGGAACCAAGATGGCTGTTTTCAGGGAAGATCAGTCATGTTTGTAGAAAATGACCAATCAGATGATTCTGTTATTGAAAGTGATTCTGTTGAAGCTACACAAGGTCTTTCAGTAAACCGTGTGTATTCTTCAGGAAAAATTAGTAAGACATGTATACACGATGACATTTCAGATGATTTACAAAAAGATATTGTACCTAAAGATCTTAGATCAGATGTGTATCTGTTAGGTTCCGAGGATAACCAGGTGTCTTCAGAAAACGGACTAAGTGTACACAGACCTGACTCAGTGCAGCGGTGCAACAGTATGTTGTCTCTTCAGTTGGAGCAGGAAGATAACCAGAGAAAGGACAGTAAAGTCAGTGCTGTCCTTGGATCACCAGCTTGTGAATGTTCTCAGAGAGACTCTGAAAAAGTGCTGTCTTCAGTTAGATCTCTGCAGCTGTCTGCAAATACATCATCATCCACTGAAGGACTAGATAAACTTTTAGAAGCTGGTGTCTCAAAGTCTGAAGGAAGCAACCATAACAACTCAAAACATTCTCATGTACAGAACTACCCACAGTTTTCTCGTCATATCACTAACACGGCTCAGTCCCGTAGTGAAAAATCTGCCCACCCAGAAGCTTATCACAACGACTTGGTCAGAGGAAGAGCAGAGTCGGACGTGTCCTCAGTTTTCACTGAAATTTCTGTGCAGGATATGTATCATCTGATGGGTCTCAAGGGTGAATATAAAGATGGGAATTTGCATGAAGGATTTGAGGCAGCAAATGGAACTGATGGTATGTATTGTTTTGATTTTACTTAAGGAGCCGTTTAGTCTGTTCTAGTTAGAACATAGTTAAAGTATTAAATCATGTTTTGTTACTAGTCTTAACCCACTGACTACTACCACAATCGCACATTATGCGATTGGCCAACAGTTACGCCTGGCCGCTGTGGTGATCATACCTCCTTCAATCGTAACTTTAGACGCTTGCCACCATGTTAAAACTGCGACTTTTGTGATAAATATAGTGGAAGCCATTAGTCCAGTTATTCCCAAACATGCGCCATGGGGGAGCCGCAACCTCTTCACAGGGGCGCCGCAAAATATTGTAAAAGCTTCATAATTAATTTAACCAAGATAGGAATAGTCATACTTTTACTGAGGTTAGGACGCCAGGGAAAAATATTTATTGAAAAAAAGGCACTGCGAGCAAGACAAGTTTGGGAGTGCCCAAATTAAATTTTTCTCAAATTTTTTTTGTTTGTGTGAGCTCCCATGTTGATGACACAGATGTTTTGATAATGGCAGCTGATTGTTATAGCTGGCAAAGTGGAACAGTTTGGGGAGTATTTCTGATGCTGTGGGATATTTTCTTGATTATTTTAAATTGGAATGCAGGTGACAATTTTCTGAACAGTTTGATGATTGTGACTTTGATCATTCTTATGAACTGCCATCAAAAATATTGTTGAAACTGGATGACGATAGTTCGCTTACAGCAATGGCATAGCAGTCGGTGGTAGGTGTGTTATGTTTTACATCAGTTCATGTAAACTGTTTCATTTATGTGCTTCATGTATATATTGTTAGATGCCTCTGTTAGTATAGATTGTGTAAATTATGGTATGTGGCTTATAATTTAGTGAAAATTGTTTCACAGAGCAGTCCTTGGCTTTTACCATGCTATTCGTGCTATTCCTCAAAAAGTACTCAGAGAACATAGGAAATGCTGCCCTGGACTCACATTTTGATGAAGGAGAAAATCCCAACTGCACCTCCTTATGGTGGAAGACGGAAACACACCATAGTGTCGCTAACATAATCTTGGGGACTGAGTATCCATCGGAATAAGCAGAGGCATTCTGAGATGGCTGTTGCTTTGTAAACACTAAGTGTGGTGTTGAAATTAGAAGAGCTGTAAGAAATGCGAAGCTAGATTTGGCCGAATCATAATTAAAGAAATGCAGGGAATTAAAGTGATGTGAACTCACAATCTTCAGAGTGCAAGACAAATTACCTAACCTCTTTAATGGAGGTTCTCCACGTATCACAAGATACTAACACTGGTTGTAATGAAAGACTGACACCATGTAACATAAAACACATGATGATTATGATGATGATGATGATAATGATGACATACAAACTAGTATCAATGAATTTTCTGCCAGTTTATGAAACATCTGTTTTTGCTTTCAGACTGTATCGATATACCAACTTCACAGAATACAGCAGCCTGGTAAGTGTATGTTGTAGCTTCCGGCAGTCTTGCTGTCACTTGCTAATCTCACTCTTTCAGAGCAGGGATAGGATGCATGATCTTCTTAAATAGGGGCCCAAAAAATATATGGTATTTTGTGGATGTCTCTGCTTAAGAAAAAAATATGTAAGCTTTGAATTTAAATATTTAAAGGAATGCTGAGTTAACAGGTGATGCAACAGGGCTTAGATTGGTCAAGGTCTGTCTACACCTTACTGTGGTCACCCTAGAAATAGGCTTCTAACTGGGACCTGATCAGTGTAGACGAGATTGACGAGTCCCTTCAAAACAAAATACATCAACCTGAAAGGCAAGAGCTACAGTCTGCAGCCAGGTCTGGAAAACTCAAAACTCGTCTTGGAACAAGACCAAAGTCCAAGGATAACCAGGACTGTCCAGTAAAGTTTACAGCTGGTGAATGCCAGCAACAACAGAAAAGTTGAATACCTTCTTCTTTTTTCATGTTTATCGACTGTAAACTCTGGTGGAATGTTCTGGTCATTCATCCACTTCTGGATTGTGGTATTGTTCCAGAACTTGAGTTTTATGTGCGCATCCATTTTGCAATTCTGTCTTATTTGTATGCAGACTGTTGGTTTCTTGCCTCTCATGTAAGTACACTCTCTTCAAAGGAAGCTAGTCAGCTTTTGTAACAAGGTTGTTAGGAAGGCAGTGGATATATTCTTTCCTCCTCCCCCCCCCCCCACAATGGGGTCATGAACTCAAACAGTGACAGAGTTAAGAATACAGATGTCTAGAATATAACAAGGCAGGGAGAAGAAATACATGAATATATAATATCACAAACAACAAGTGAACATTGCAGCTAGAGAGCTTTCAACAGCACATTACATGAATATATAATATCACAAACACAAACGGCAAGTGAACGATGCATCTAGAGAGCTTTCAACAGCACATTACATGAAAATATAATATCACAAACAAGAATACACAAAACCAGTTAGCTGAAGTGTCTATGAGAGGAATCACATATCTGTCGGGCCAGCTGAAGCTCTGACACAATCTTTTTTCATATGAACAGGTTTGAGGTTTTGAACAACGGATCAACATCTTGGCACATGGGTAGTAACCCCAAGTGCTCTGTTCTTCTTTTTAACTCAAGTATGAGTCTGAAGAAGTTCAGCACAGTGCACAGATTCTATAGCATCGGCGAGGATCCTGAAATACTTTGGGAAGATTTTTAACTCAAAATTTTGCCCGGGCAGCGCCATTAGGCTACTCTTTTCGATTTCCAACTGCCAAGGGATTTTTTTACCTGCACAACAATGCACATGGGTGTCCGATCTCACTACCCAGAGACCAGGGGGAATTACTAGAAGTCCAAGTCCACGTGAAAAAATCCCAGCCGATCTTCTTTCATATTCTTCTTCTTGTAGTGATATCTGCTTCGTGCCACTAGGAATTACAGATGATGGGTAGCCAAGTCAGGGCACATTCACTTGCTTGGTATGCTGTTACGTTGAGAAGTCTTAAACCATCAGTGACTACAAAAATCCATCTTCTTCCTCATGATTTTTCTATTTTCATGCATTGTGCTGTCACTGCTGGCATTGTCAGATTCATTCCAACTAGGTGGTCAAACCATTCAGTCTTTATTTCACTCCTGTTAACAAATAGTTTTTGTCATAGCCTGACAGCAGTCCCAACAAGTTAACAGTATTGAGATTGTCTAGTCAAGTATCCTTTCATATCGCTTCTTTCAGGAAACCCCGATGTGGCTTGTATACAGTTGGTGACTGGATTAACAATGTGACCAAGGACAGGCCAGGTAAGAATTATGAGTTTTTTTCTGCTCCCATCATCAAGTAACACGTCCTGGGCAGAACATCATGTGAGAGTTTAGGGTCCCGTTTTGAAGGAAAAGAAAAATGAATAGAATCACCTACTGCATGTCCTAAAATTATCAATGTGCTGAAATTGGTTGTGTTAGACCAGAAGGTGTTGATTCACAGCTTTATTGTAAACCCCAGTATAACCGGTCAAGAGCCCTTTTAAGGGTAAACAAAGAAGAAGAACCAAGAAAAGTTATTTGTAAAGGGGCACAAATTAGATACCCACACCTGTCTTACATTTGCCCCTTTCAGACACCCACCTTTCACACTGCCTGTGTATTTTTTCAAGAAAGCAGGTTATGTTCATATAACAAAATACGTAATATCGCTATGAGGTAAAAGCTAAAAAGCATGGCTGGCAGATGTGTTCATTCAAATATACATACATGCATACATACGCACACACTCGTACTGATACGCATTCATACACACATGTTACACATACATACATATACACACATAAATACACACATACATACATAGATACACACTAATTTGTGCAAAAACACTCATACACACATGCACACACACACAAACACAAGAAGAGGAAGAACCTCACTCCCACCAGAGCCTGCTGTAGAGACTCACAATCTGTCACATACATTTTCATACCTAGACTGTTTTAATATCCCTGTCCACCGCTGTACTGGTTTAACCCTGCCTCATCTTCTATGTACATGTCTTTGATTTTTTTTCCCAAGTTAAAAAGAAAGTTAATTCTGTTTCCTTTAGAGAATATTGCAAACCAATCCCAGTAGCTGTTGAATAGCTGTGGTTTTATCAGGTAATTTTTTTATGTTCAGTGATTGGCCATTGCTTTCTGAACAGTCAGCTTTTGGTAGTATTGTCAGAGTATCTTGGAAATACAGACCATGTTTACAGCTCCTAAGCTTCAAATGCTGACTAGCTACTTTTCTTTAATTTCTTTCATGATCTGTGTCTTGAGATAAATAATGTCACAGTTTTACCCCTTGTTTTCCACACTTAAAAGACTTTGTATTATGTGACATGTGAAGGCTTGACATTATAAATCCCAACAGCTGTGTAACAAATCCATTATGTTTTTCACACTGATATATTCTGCACTTGCAGAATATATAAATATATATATATATATATATATATATATATATATATATATATATATATATATATATATATATATATATATATATATATATATATATATATATATATATATATATATATATATATATATAGAGAGAGAGAGAGAGAGAGAGAGAGAGGATACTGAAAACTAGCAAGAATTATGGAAAGAGATACAGAGGAAAATGCAGTATATCATGATAGAAATGTGTCAGAACATGAACTGAAACATTCAATGTTAAATACAAACATAAATATGATTGTCTATGCTAGTCGGCAAGCCACTTGATGGTGATGTGGGTAATCAATGGTGGGGAAGTGTCTCATGCAACTGCAGCTTTCTGCTGGCTTGAGAACCATCTATACACATGTTATGATTGTAACAAACTCACACAGCTTACTCGAAAAGGTAGAGAAAGGTGTGCTTCATGCAGAATGCCAAGCATCGTTTCAGATGTACCCAGTAATTAGCATCCTTTGGATCTTTTCTCTGGTGTATGCCGGAGTGTCAGAAAAGAAACCAGTAGAGATATAGGCTGGTATGCTCCACTGGGTGGTGAATTGATGCCTAAGCTATTTGTGGTCAAGACCCTTTGGGAAAAAAATTAACAATAAAAACGTACAAATAGATCTTTACTGTCTGCTGCAGCAGGGAGTGACTAGGAGATCTGGCCAACATTATTCATGAAGAGGACAGGTAATACGGAAATATAACTAAATCGTTACTGGTACCATGGATATTAGAACTCATTACTGACTAAAGTTGGGGACAGGGCACCTATAGGAATGTCCCGAGTTCTTGTGGTGTCAGTTCATAACTCATCTGAACTATGATATGACATTACCATTGTATTTTCCACACTGCAGAGTTCTGTAATGGTTGCTAAATATCCATGTTACAACAGGTTATGGCTTGCTGGAGGTCCTGTCCACCTACCAGTACTTGGAGCATGTGATATTCAGCCTGCTCAGTGGCAGACCAGTCTTGGTGGCAGGCTCGGCTAAGCTGGAGTCTGAAGTCATTAGAGTGGTTAATGCTCTGGCTGTGTTTGTGCCTGCGACTAGGAGGTATGGAGACTTCAGATTTGTTCCTTAGCATTGTGTGTTTGTTGATTGATATGTTGGTTTGTAGGTTGCTGTGTGAGTTGGTAGGTCGCTGTGTTTGTTGTAAGGTTGCGGTGGGGGTTGGTAGGTCACTGTGTGGGTTAGTAGATCACTGTGTGGGTTGGTAGGTTGCTGTGTTTGTTGGTAGGTCACTGTGTTGGTTGGTAGGTTGCTATGTGGGTTGGTAGGTCACTGTGTTGGTTGGTAGGTTGCGGTGTGGGTTGGTAAGTTGCTGTGTTCATTGGGAGGTCACTGTGTTGGTTGGCAGGCTGCTGTGTTAGTTGCTGTGTTGGTTAGTTGGTTGCTGCGTTAGCAGAATGAAACATTTTAACATGTACAATCAGTGGCGACAGCACTAGCCCTGCGTCCCTAAATCCTCAGGGTTATGACCCCCCCCCCCCCTTTCCCATCTACACTACTCTAAAAAGTGGTTTAAAAAAAGACAGTACGGACAGTTTTTTTAATTAAAATGTTAAATGAGGAGCATCCTCACATGCTTGGTATGCTACAGTTGCAGCTTAAAACACTGTGTGTATATAAACTGTAAAGTAGAAGCCCACATTCATGCCTGGAGATGTATTTGATATCTGGTCCTAGTTCCCACATTTGTGTACACAGGTTAACAGTAAAGCAAACATGCTTTGTGATTCTGAGATACCAGGTTCACTTAAAGCAGCAAGCTATTTGGGAGCAGAGTGTTTTGTTGTTGATTTCAAGTGGTGTAGAATAGTGACTGTTCAGAGACTATTTACTACTGAACACAGAATGACCTAGTAAACATCTAACAGCGTAGAAATGCTGAGGCTGCTTTGGCAATGTAAAGAATATGCTGCCAACCGTTGCTGGTATTTACTACTTTTGTGGTGTAGGCAGAGAGGTTTTTGAACCTGAGGATTGAGGGTCGCACAGTTAGTGTTGTCGCCATGGATTGTACAGGTTAGGGTTTAATTTTTGCCTACGACAGAACTAATTTCCAACCTCAGAGAGGATTTCAACCTGGGTCTCCTGCATAAGAGCTGAGCATTCTTACCGTTTGGTCAGCCTCTTCTCAAAAGGATATACAGCTAACTTTGAGTGTTGACTATAATGCTCTCTATCTTTACCTCCAAGAATATCTTTGATACTCATTTGTAGGTTGGATCCACCTACAAGCCCAGGATAGTCTTACAAATCAGCCCCTTGGGAATTTAGCCAGAAAATTTCTTGAGGTCTCAGAAATGTGTTTTTACAGAAAGATACTTGAAAATCCATAGACAGGCAAAATGAGTAACCCAGATGTGTTGAATGAGGCGTGAGTCTGAATTCACAAATATCAGGAGGAGACAGACATTATCTGTTGATAATGTTGAATAAAATAAAAATGTTAAGAGGGAAACTGAAACATGTGACCACTAGAAAGATTCATGGAAAGAGAGATTAAGGGAGACAGTAAAAGGTTCTTGACAGCCTTTTGTCTTGGCATGGAGGGGTGTCGTCACATGAACTGATACATGCTGATTTGGATCGCAGGTTATGAGAGGCATGATCTCCCATGCAAGGGGATGATGATTATGAGGAGGAGGACTTAAAGATACTACTCCATGCTTCCATGACTTTCTGTTTTAGATACTCTCAATACAAAGACTGTACAAACACCCAGCATTTTATACTTCTTCTCTGGCTGTTTATTTTCTTTCAGGAAATCTCATTCAGTCTTGGAGTGGACATCGAAGCCTGTGAAAATCACTGACCTGATTAAGTTAAAACTAATAGGAGTTTGCAGACCAGAAAGGCGGTCTCTGGACTCCTTTATACCCAGTGCAATAAAGGTTTGTATCATTTATTGCTTGCCTGGGTTCTGTGGTCAGGACTTTGACCATGTTCAACCCGCTTCTACATAAGCTTTGGTTATATTTAAGGTCTTTTTGTTTTGTTTTGTTCCACATTGTTGTGTCTGGTATGTCTTGTTTGTGTCTACTTACTGTCCATGTCTGTAGGAGTCTGGGCTGGTGAGGTTGTCCATTGCTGTGTCCAGGTTGATTGGTAGTCCTGGTAAAGGTTAGATTCTTCTTTGGGTACTATGTTTGAATCCCCTCTTTTTTTTATATATGTCTGGGCTGTCTGATTGACACAGGTTAAGATGGGTCTTAGGAAACTTCCTAGGAAGTAAATCTGGCTGATGTGATATAGAACATGTCACCTGTTTAGTGTAAATTGAGAAGATTAAAACTATAATGCGGATTCCTTGAAAGAGATCAACTCAAAAGACAACTGATCTATGGCATCTTAAGAGGAAAGTTACTTTATTTGGGCAGGTCATGAGAAGGGAAAAACTGGAGTATGTCATAACATCTGAAAGGTTTAAAGGAGGGGAGGGGGGGGGGGGTGGTAGAAAACGAACGAACAAACTTTATTTTCAAAGGGTTACAAATTGGGCATGCGGGCCAGTCTGCCATTCTGCCCTTCTAAGTACTCATTTGTCAGAGTACCAATACCTGTTATCAATAATGCATGTTATGGATATAATAAAGAAATATAAATTATAAAATAATGCATACACACATCATGTGTACACAATCGTACACACTCACACACATGTATACATACTCCTACGTTCTCATACATGTGAACTCATATACAGACATATGTGATACATACACACATGCGTCTACATACATATAAAACACATACACATACATAGACATAAATGCACTAACAAAAAACACACACACATTTATGGATATAAATGCACACACATATTTCATACATTCACACCTATACATGCATACACACATATACAATCACATGTATAGACACCAACATATGCCCACAACCATACATTTACACTTACATGAATACATACACCCACATACATGCATACATACATTCACACATACATGCATACATTAGAGAGGCAGAGGGACACCCCCCTTTCCCCCCCCCCCCCCCCCCCCCAAATTACATTCTGTATTGTACATGCAACAGAATGTTGTGGACAGACATGATTTCTGACACCAGCAGACAATAAGAAAAGAGACATAATATTGTTACGAGTTTTATTTTGTTGCTACTACAGTAATGATGTGGTGTCACTACTGTTAGGTTCATTTGTGTCATATGCTTATGACGGCTTTCTAACTGCAACATTCATTTGTCACTTGTGATTGTGATACTGGCTAGTTATGTTTCTCATTTCAACTAAATATCTTTTCATGCTGCTCTTTTTGTAACTGCTTTTATTTATTTGTTACTGCTGTTGTTTTTACTGCTATGTTGTATTTTTTATTCTGGTTTTCTATTGTTTTCTGCCACATTATTATCTTCTTCTTCTTTTTGTTCATCCGAGTGACGTAAATTTCTTTGTGCCTGTTCACAGCAGAGCTGCTATGTTTGCGACTTTTGGCCAACACATCTGACTTCATCAAGCATTTGTTGACCAGGTTAACTTGCTGATAGTTTTATGGGACAGGGACATGTGGCCTTTTTTGTGTGGTGTTCTCTTTGTCCCCTTATCAAATTTTTTTTTGTTTTTTGTTTTTTTGTTAAAGTATCCAGAAGCCATTAGTTGTTAACCCTTAGGCTCGGTATTATGGATATCGCAACCCTTCGGCCTTGATTCCATGATAAATACCGTAAATCTGAGAGAAATGTGGCTTATCTGCCTACCCCCGGGCGTGAACCCGGACCACAAGGAGTTTGTCACCCGGTCACCATGCAATCTGGTTTAGCCAACTACGCTAGTGAACCGGGCTCCCCTTATCCATAGGTCATTCCGCTGAAGACCCCAGGGCATCTGCATGTAGATAAGTTGGTCCTCATTCTAGGAGGCTTCCATTTATAGCTGAGCCGACACATGACACTCTAGTCCTGGGCTCACCCAAGGAATCGTCATGTCCTGCACATGTCTGCTTAATCTCACATCCATATGTTGAGCTTTCTAATCGTCATGGGCTGCACCCACTGTAGATCCGCTGGGAGCAGCCCATAGGTCAGGGACATTGATGGCAACACAAATAGGTACATTTTTCTTCTGCACGTTAGACACCTTTTATTATCTTTTTATTTCAGAAAGCTTGTACAGTGGTTGACATAGAGAAGAGAATCATTGTGGCACCACCTTACCAGGTACAGTGCTTGTATATGTGCAACAGTTCAATATCTGTCTGCCTATTGCATCTGTCCAACTCTATTTGATGCCACTAAGGTCACTAGACTGAAGATGTTGGACCATGAAATTGAAATAATTGCACAGAATAGAGCGAAATGGAAGAATAAACTGCGAGCACCATGTGACACATAATTGCACAAAAGAAGGACGATGATGATGATGAAGGTCATAAGACTAGGTCTTTTCTTCACACTGGATAAGACCTTGAAGCAGCACTTTGTGCTGTAACCTACCTAGACTAACATATCAATACATTTTGTGGTGAAAAGAAAGACTGAGACTGATTTTGGCCTGCACAAACATGTTGTGATTGTAACAGGCTCACAGTGTATGCTGAGATCAGTATGCTTCATGCAGTGGGGCTAGCATTGCTTCAAAGGTCCCTAGTGTTTAGTCATTTGGGTAGTTAGCATCCTTTGGGTAGTTAGCGTCCCTTGGGTAGTTAGTGTCCTTTGGGTAGTTAGCATCCTTTGGGCAGTTAGTGTCCTTTGGGCAGTTAGTGTCCTTTGGGCAGTTAGTGTCCTTTGGGCAGTTAGTGTCCTTTGGGCAGTTAGTGTCCTTTGGGCAGTTTAGTTAGTGTCCTTTGGGTAGTTAACAACCTTTGGGCAGTTAGTGTCCTTTGGGCAGTTAGTGTCCTTTGGGCAGTTTAGTTAGTGTCCTTTGGGTAGTTAACAACCTTTGGGTAGTTAGTGTCCTTTGGGTAGTTAACAACCTTTGGGTAGTTAGTGTCCTTTGGGTAGTTAGTGTCCTTTGGGCAGTTTAGTTAGTGTCCTTTGGGTAGTTAACAACCTTTGGGTAGTTAGTGTCCTTTGGGCAGTTTAGTTAGTGTCCTTTGGGTAGTTAACAACCTTTGGGTAGTTAGTGTCCTTTGGGTAGTTAACAACCTTTGGGCAGTTAGTGTCCTTTGGGCAGTTTAGTTAGTGTCCTTTGGGTAGTTAACAACCTTTGGGTAGTTAGTGTCCTTTGGGTAGTTAACAACCTTTGGGTAGTTAGTGTCCTTTGGGTAGTTAACATCCTTTGGGTAGTTAGTGTCCTTTGGGTAGTTAACATCCTTTGGGTAGTTAGTGTCCTTTGGGTAGTTAACAACCTTTGGGTAGTTAGTGTCCTTTGGGTAGTTAACATCCTTTGGGTAGTTAGTGTCCTTTGGGTAGTTAACATCCTTTGGGTAGTTAGTGTCCCTTGGGTAGTTAGTGTTCTTTGGGTAGTTAACATCCTTTGGGTAGTTAGTGTTCTTTGGGTAGTTAACATCCTTTGGGTAGTTAGTGTTCTTTGGGTAGTTAACATCCTTTGGGTAGTTAGTGTTCTTTGGGTAGTTAACATCCTTTGGGTAGTTAGTGTTCTTTGGGTAGTTAACATCCTTTGGGTAGTTAGTGTTCTTTGGGTAGTTAACATCCCTTGGGTAGTTAGTGTTCTTTGGGTAGTTAACATCCTTTGGGTAGTTAGTGTCCTTTGGGTAGTTAGTGTTCTTTGGGTAGTTAGTGTTCTTTGGGTAGTTAACATCCTTTGGGTAGTTAGTGTTCTTTGGGTAGTTAACATCCTTTGGGTAGTTAGTGTCCCTTGGGTAGTTAGTGTTCCTTGGGTAGTTAGTGTTCTTTGGGTAGTTAGTGTTCTTTGGGTAGTTAGTGTTCTTTGGGTAGTTAGTGTTCTTTGGGTAGTTAACATTTTTGATTAGTTAGCATCATTGGGGTAGTTAGCATCCCTTGGGTAGTTAGCATCATTGGGGTAGTTAGCATCATTGGGGTAGTTAGCGTCCTTTTGGTAGTTAGCATCCTTTTGGTAGTTAGCATCCTTTGGGTAGTTAGCATCATTGGGGTAGTTAGCGTCCTTTTGGTAGTTAGCGTCCTTTTGGTAGTTAGCATCCTTTGGGTAGTTAGCATCCTTGGGGTAATTAGCATTCCTTGGGTAGTTAGCATCATTGGGGTAATTAGCATTCCTTGGGTAGTTAACATCATTGGGGTAATTAGCATTCCTTGGGTAGTTAACATCATTGGGGTAATTAGCATTCCTTGGGTAGTTAACATCATTGGAGTAATTAGCATTCCTTGGGTAGTTAACATCATTGGGGTAATTAGCATTCCTTGGGTAGTTAACATCATTGGGGTAATTAGCATTCCTTGGGTAGTTAGCATCATTTGGGTAGTTAGCATCATTGGGGTAGTTAGCATCATTGGGGTAATTAGCATTCCTTGGTTAGTTAGCATCATTGGGGTAATTAGCATTCCTTGGGTAGTTAGCATCGTTGGGGTAATTAGCATTCCTTGGGTAGTTAGCATCATTGGGGTAATTAGCATTCCTTGGGTAGTTAGTATCATTTGGGTAGTTAGCATCATTTGGGTAGTTAGCATCATTGGGGTAGTTAGCATCATTGGGGTAGTTAGCATCATTGGGGTAATTAGCATTCCTTGGGTAGTTTGCATCATTGGGGTAGTTAGCATCATTGGGGTAGTTAGCATCATTGGGGTAGTTTGCATCATTGGGGTAGTTAGCATCATTGGGGTAGTTAGCATCATTGGGGTAGTTAGCATCATTGGGGTAATTAGCATTCCTTGGGTAGTTAGCATCATTGGGGTAGTTAGCATCATTGGGGTAGTTAGCATCATTGGGGTAGTTAGCATCATTGGGGTAGTTTGCATCATTGGGGTAGTTTGCATCCTTTAGGTAGTTAAGTTCCTTCGAATTTTGTCTCTGTGGCATGTGGATTGTTGTGAAATGAACAGAGAGATGATTGGCTGGTATGATTGGCTTTGTATGACATCATTTCTAAATATAGTCTAAGCATGGACATCATCATCCTGTAGTTTTCACTGTGTTCAGTAAATATAGAGATACAGACATATGCAATATATCTTTGTCATTAAGGGTTAGAAAAATAATTCTCGCTTGCTACATTCATCCAGTTTTAACATATGGCTGTGAGTCCTGGAAAATCGATAGACAGGCCAAAACATTTCTTGAGGCCTCAGAGATGTGGTTTTACAGAAGAATGCTTAAAATACCTTATATAGCCAAAAAGAGCAACCAAGAGGTTTTGAAAGAGGCGGGAGCCCGAAGACAACTTATCACAGACATCAGAAAGAAACAGTCATCATTTTTCGGCCATGTTATGAGAAGAGGGAAAATGGAACATGTTGTGACCACTAGAAAAATCTGTGGAAGGAGTGATAGAGGAAGACAACGAGAGAAGATTCTTGACAGTCTTGTTGCATGGCATGGAGGTGTGTCAGCACACAATCTAATACATACTGCAGGAGATTGGAGATTGTCGTGAGGCATGATCGCCTACGCCAGTCGGCAAGCCACCTGATGATGATGATGAGACATACAGGCGTCCTAGTGCATGCCTATGAATATCCTGTAAAACGGGAATCTCCCATCTGTAGTAGCACTCATATCAGTGGTAATTCAGATGTCCTGTATTTCCGATGTTGTTAATACGTCAGATAGTAGACCCCAGTCCACTAGAACTATGTTACGCAATTCGGTTTATCCGAATATGACGTCAGTGGCACCATTTCGTTGGCTTGAATTCCTTACAATTTAGTAGGACTATGTATGTCCCCAGCGGGAGAGTAGCACTCCATGGTGCACCACTGCCATTTTGCAACAAGGTCATCTTGCCTTAAATGGGTACCAGTTAAATTCATGGGAAGTAAAAGCAGCCGGCATGATTTAGATCACATTACCTACTGAATGCTGATTGGTCTATAAAATATAGGTCTAGTACCATATACCTAAAACACCTGAAGGCATGAAAACATAGTCCTTTGCTTTACTGCTCACTCAGTAATGTAGCGGCTAGCCTGCTTCTCTGCTGATTTATTGACTTGAATATTTATTGAGGTGAATTTTAAAATTGACTGTGGCTTCCAGGTTAAATCAGCCTCAACCTTGTTGCCCAGTAAACACTACCAAAATAAGGGGGAAAAAAAGTCATTAAACAATTAGAATTCCCGGAAAACACCAAAACAAAAAACAAAAAAAAATCATTCTACAGAGGTCAATTAAACATTTTTTAAACATTGTTTTATGTACATTGAAAAAAAATATATAAAGATGTATAAAGGGAGTGAATCTGTTTCCCCCACCCCCACCATTAATTGGGATGCTGGAACTTACAGGGAAAGATTGCACCTAATATATTTACTGGTATTTTGTATTTGACTTGTCAGGGCCAGTTTATTGCAACATTGATGGCCAAGAGGAGAGTGCTCAAGACTGATATTCAGTTGTTAGCTTACATAGAATGGTGAGTTTTTTCCTCCCCTTTTTCTCCTTCTCCTGTTCCATCTTCTTCTTTGTTTTTGTTTTAGAAGTCTAGTTTTTAAATATATTTTGTTGTAATATAGACCACTTTATACTTTGTGTTCTGCAAATGTTCAATGCTCAGTTGATAAAATACATGTCTTCAAGGATGTATTCAACCCTCTGTTCTGTCAGTTCAGATTCATACATAAAATAGGGACGTATTTCAGCCTGTGTGAGGGATTGTTCTACCCAGACCAGCTGTGACAGATGATTTCCAAATGACGGGTTGCTGTAAACAGGATATTTGGCCTATGTTAGAGAGACCTATCAAGTCTGTTACAAAGGAAATGTGTACAGGGAAAATTACCAGTGGTGATAGTATCATTCTTCTTCTTCTTCTTCTTCTTCTTCTTCTTCTTCTTCTTCTTCTTCTTCTTCTTCTTCCTCCTCTTCTTCTTCCTCTTCTTTTTGTTCAGTGGCTATAAACTCCAGCAGAATGTTCTGATTGTTTGTTGAATTCTGAACTTCTGTTTCGTTCAAGAAGTTGAGTTTTTCATACATGTCTGTTTTACAGATTTGGCTTATTTATGTGCTGACTGTTAGTTCCTCATCTCTCAGGCAGATACACTCCCATATCAAAGGACACACTCCGAATTAGTTGACTTATACAACATGCTTTTTTTATTGGTGCTTTTGAAAAAAAGGGGAGTGGGGGGGGGGGGGGATATTCTTTCTCCCCACCCCTCCAACATGGGGCTCTAAATCCACATTGAGGAATTTAATCATTCATTAAAAATAGTCTCATAGCAAAAGTTACAAGTAGGATGTAGAAATGGTATATTTTCACATATTCTAGTCCACTACCTGAGGTGGGGTGGCCCATTCTCTTCTTGATCAGCTTTCCTTCTCGGAAAATTAGGGAAATTCTCTGGCACACATTGTTATGAGTTTAGCAGAGTTGAATTAGGAACTGACATCACTGCACTTGGGACATTTCAATAAACGCTCCATCCTCATCTTCAGCAGCCAGTGAATTGTTCCATTGCTGATTGTACTAGTAGTAGTTTAATTATATGGGTGTCTCATAAAGCTGAAATATTTTAGTCATATCAAGCACCACGACGGATTGGAAAAAAATTATAGCAGAAGGCATGGTACCAGGAAGGAGGGGCAGGGCCCGACCGACACCAAGATGTGCACAGGATATAAGTGACTCCTTGAGTGTGGAAGTGCATGAGGCAGGAGAACTGGCGAGAGACCGAGTTTCTTTCAGGCAGACCGTGATGAGAGCGACGTTCTGCAAAGGACCTGCTACATGATGATAATGATGAACATTTATGGGACACACATTCTTATGAAGCTGGGTAGTCCCATTGTTGTACTGGTTGGGGAAAATCCTGCCACTTTTGAGGATTGAAACCAGGCCACTGTCTTAGCAAGCACCTATACCAGCGGGCCGTTGTCTTGGCAGGCAAGCGATCTTTCTACTGTTTCAGTGCAATATAATATGGTTAGAAAAGTAACTTGACACCAGTGGTACATCTAGCATCTCTTCTGTGTTTGCCCCTTAAACATTCAATGTTGGCACCTTTCTGTCTTTCCAGACGTTAGTGCTATATTGTGCTGTGAGGAGGCAATGATTCTGGGACCAATTAAGGCCGGGGAGGAAGTTTCTCCTTTCCACAGCACAAAGCATGTGCATTTATGTAGAGACCTATGTTGCCCATGCATTATAATGAATATCATTCAGTCATTCTTAATTATCGTAACATTTATATCTTCATTTTCTTTCCTAGCCTCAAGATCCCCTTATACTTTTACATAACAATAATGTGAATGATTGTAGACAATTCAGTATGAATAATCAATATGGTTTCTCTCTGTCAAACACCCGGTGGCATTTTGCACCTATACGTTTCATGACCAGAAAATCGATCAGATGCTCAGATGATACTTATTGATTTTTATCTTTGATATCACATACGCCTGTGATATTGCAGACACAGTATCACACAGAAACAGTTTTATCTAGGTAGATACAACATTGCACAAGATGAGACATTGCACAAAACACAAGTTTTGTATATAAGATTAGAATATGTAACAATGGTATGTATTGATTTGGTTGCTGTGTGAAATTAACCGATCAGCGAAACAAAAGACCAGTGAACCCTGTCTTGTCTTGGCTCACTGTTTTCCCAAGAGTTATAACTTTGTTTTGTTAGCTTTCCCAACCAGAGCCATTGTCCCGTTCGGAGATGTGGTTAATTCAAGTATTGTCCCTGGGCTTTGGGTGGGTTTTGTTGACAATGGCTTGCCTAAAATCGATGAAGGAAACATTACCAACTTAGGTCCTGTCTCAACTGTCACAGATGTTTCTCCTTGTAAAATTCTGAAACAGTCTTGCCTGTATATGTGTATTTATAGTTTCTCTCTTGATATTTTTCATGTTTATTGAACTACAGCCTCCCCTTGTGGGTTCTGTGGCCCCATTATGGGGAGAACAAGAATAGACCCACTCCCTGCCCAAAAGCATGTCATAAGAGTAAACTAATTGAGTGCTTCCTTCAAAGTCAAAGTACACCTGCCTGGGAGACAAGAAACCAACAGTCTGCATACAAATGAGTCAGAATTGTGCATGCAACACTTAGGCTCTTTAACAGGACTGAGTCTAGAAGTGGACAAATAGCCAGATCTTTCCACTGGAGTTTACAGCTGGTGAATATGAAGAAGGCAAAGAAGAACTACAACCACATTCAGTTTTATGTCTGTCTATGGTTTTTCTTGATGTTGTCCTCAGAAATTATTTTCATTGCTGTAAGACATTTCTCCATTTACATTTTTCATCTGTTTATTGAACCCTTCGTAATGCCGGGATGCTGGGTTTGATCCCAGCTGCAGGCCATGCGCCTTGCGTTGGTTTCGACAGTGTTATCAAGAAAGCTGATTGTCCAGAAAGCAATGGCAAACTACTGGACATAAATTTGACTGGAAAAACCACACAATAGCCAGGGGCTTTTGGGGTTGGTTCTTCAACGTCCTGTTAAGGATACACAACTAACCTTATTGAACCACAGCAACATTCATTTCTCTTTCTGTCCACAGGTTTATTCAAATTTTGCTCATAAATTATTTTCACTGCCATAATATATTTATGTATGTATATCTTTTTGTCTGCTTATTGAACTACAGGCATTTATTTTTTGTCTGCTTTCTTCACATTTTGCTCAGAACTGCTATAAGATATTTCTCTATTTCTTACTTTCTTCTCTTATTCAAAAGCTTACACTACTAAAGGTTGTATCTATCAATATACCGCTCTTTTTCTTAAGTCACCTGACACCATTTTATCTGTAAGTATAGTATCCATTGTACTACTACACTGTTTTTTTGGTGTAAGATAAAAAAGCTACATCTCCCTGTTGTAAGTATAAACAAAGACGAGAAACAAATGACTGCACATTTTATTGCCTGGCATATTTAACTGTATCTCTTCAAGTGCACGCTGTAGAGATTAATGAAATGACACAAAGAAATTAATCTTTTTACAATAGAAATAGAAAACACTACAGTAACATGTAAGTGTATTATGGTTTCTTACATTTAAAAGTAACACATACCACAGTAAAATGTGAGTGTATTATGGTTTCTTACATTTAAATGTAACACATATCACAGTGAAATGTGAGTGTATTATGGTTTCTTACATTTAAAAGTAACACATACCACAGTAAAATGTGAGTGTATTATGGTTTCTTACATTTAAATGTAACACATATCACAGTGAAATGTGAGTGTATTATGGTTTCTTACATTTAAATGTAACACATACCACAGTACCACATTAAAATAACACATATCACAGTGAAATGTATTATTATGGTTTCTTACATTTAAATGTAACACATATCACAGTGAAATGTGAGTGTATTATGGTTTCTTACATTTAAATGTAACACATATCACAGTGAAATGTGAGTGTATTATGGTTTCTTACATTTAAATGTAACACATATCACAGTGAAATGTGAGTGTATTATGGTTTCTTACATTTAAATGTAACACATATCACAGTGAAATGTGAGTGTATTATGGTTTCTTACATTTAAATGTAACACATATCACAGTAAAATGTGAGTGTATTATGGTTTCTTACATTTAAATGTAACACATATCACAGTAAAATGTGAGTGTATTATGGTTTCTTACATTACATTTAAATGTAACACATATCACAGTGAAATGTGAGTGTATTATGGTTTCTTACATTTAAATGTAACACATATCACAGTGAAATGTGAGTGGTATTATGGTTTTATTTCTTACATTTAAATGTAACACATATCACAGTGAAATGTGAGTGTATTATGGTTTCTTACATTTAAATGTAACACATATCACAGTGAAATGTGAGTGTATTATGGTTTCTTACATTTACATTTAAATGTGTAACTTACATTTAAATGTATCACAGTAAAATGTGAGTGTATAAAATGTATGGTTTCTTACATTTAAATGTAACACATATCACAGTGAAATGTGAGTGTATTATGGTTTCTTACATTTAAATGTAACACATATCACAGTAAAATGTGAGTGTATTATGGTTTCTTACATTTAAATGTAACACATATCACAGTAAAATGTGAGTGTATTATGGTTTCTTACATTTAAATGTAACACATATCACAGTAAAATGTGAGTGTATTATGGTTTCTTACATTTAAATGTAACACATATCACAGTAAAATGTGAGTGTATTATGGTTTCTTACATTTAAATGTAACACACAGCACACAGACACCTTATCTGTAAATACCATCATCAAGTGTCTTGCTGATGCTTCTCCACATCTTGCAGTAATTCACTTGTGTTGCAGGTGGCTGATGGATATCCTTGCCAAGGCATTCATTTTCTTTCACAGTTTTTGCTTAGGCTCAGGAGGAAGTATATTGTAGTGAGTATTTTTCAATTTTGAGTACAGAATTTGTACAGTGTATGTGTGTATGTGAAAGGAGGGGGGGGGGGGGGGGGGGGGGGGGGGGGTTAGTATGATATGTGTTGTGTGTAGTTTGGTTACACTGTGTGTGTGGTGTAGTTACAGTATGGGTGGTGTGTATTGTTTTACAGTATTTATGGAGAAAGCATACTGTAAGCATACCAAAAACAAAACACCTTCTTTTACCACACTACCTGTCGCACTCGTCCATATTATGTAGTATTGTTTATTTTGTGTGTGCTGATGAAGGCTCAATAGCCGGAACGTTCACATTTTGTTTGTATTTGTTATATTGTGTTATATTGTGAAGCTTGCTAATATACTTTTCGTTCGGGTGTATATCTTTTCTTAAAAACCACACTGACTGTAACCACACCAGACACAAAACCTTGTGTAATCACACCACACATCTTGTATTCACACCAAACACCACACACAACACCTACTGTAACCACAACACACACTGTAACCACACCACACACACTGTAACCATACCACACATACTGTAACCACACCACACATATTGTAACTACACCACACTGTACATACTGTAACCACACCACACACCTTAATGCTATAACCACACCACATGTAGTGGACTGCTTATTATCTACTGACCAGGCAGCATTACAATTTTGTCACATCATAGATGAATGGTGCCATTTTCAATGGGTGGCATAATTTTCTTGGCATAAAAAAAATTCAGTCTCTTTATTTAATTGGTGAACTGTGTATAAAGTTTTAGAGATAGAATGTGTTTTACACAATATAATGCTAGTAAGCATCCATTAACGAAGGTTAAAGAGAGTGTCACATTAAGTAACTGTCAATCTGTCACTACTGTCTGTACCACTTTTTATTTTAGTGTGGTGTAGACAGGGGGTCGTGAACCTGCAGATTTAAGACTGCATGGCTAGTGCTGTCACCACCAAATGTACAGGTTAGGATGGTTAATTTGGCACATTAAGTATGTTGTGCTAAATCCATATATGTAGAGACCAGTCTGCTCTTGCCAGGTGATGTGTTCAACATTACACCAACTGCCTTTACTTCCCATGACATTTTCTGGTACCCAATTTTAGTAGTTAGGTCATTTATGAAAATCAACCGTGATTCAGATTCAAAGCCAAGATCTTCGTTCCAGCAGGCAAGCGGCTAATTACAGCACTACCATGCTCCTATTCTTTCGTGTACAATATTTGTAACACTATTTGAGAATGGAGGTGGAGGCAGTCACACCAGCTATCTGCTGGCTTGAGAATAGCTGCACACACAAGTTGTGAGTGTAACTGATTCACAAAACATGTTAAGAAGTGTGTCAACAGGCATGCTGTGTGCAATATTTTCAGAGATCTAGGGCAGTTATCATTCTTTGGATATTTTCTTCATGGTATGCATGCATGCAGGAGTTGCTGTGGTTGAGCGGCTAGATGCTCGCCGCAGATTGGAAGGTCGTGGGTTTGCTCCCTGGCAGAGCTGGACTTTTTTCAAAAATGACCTCGGCTCCCAGGTTGATCCTAGCCTTGATTGGGTACCAGCTGCAGTCCCGGCAAGTAAAGGCAGCCGGTGTGATGCTGACCACATCACCCATCTTGTGCCGTTTTATCTATAAAATATAGGTCTAACCCTATATGCCATATATGCCTAAAGTCATGAAAAGGGTCCTTAACTTTTTTTTTTAACTTATGGATGCATTCTGGGAAATGAACAGTCAGATAGATTGGCTGGAGAACAAATTGGTGGTAAATTTTGCATGACAAGCTTGATGTGGTCAAGGCAGTTTGGGATCAGGTGAACAGTGCAGAGGCCTTGGGAGGATGGTAGAAGTAAGAGTGACAGGAAATTTGGTCAACACTCCACGGAAAGGTAAGATGCTTACACAATGAGACTACTACTGGTAATTTTAGAATTGGAAAACTTTTCTTTAGCTGCTGAAGATGAGAATAGTGAGCTTAAGAATATACCCTAAGTGATGGGATGTCAGTTTTAGTTCGACACTCAACATTAATAATACCATTCCAGTAAGGTAGGCCTAGTGCTGAACAAATTCTCCACACTGTATTCCAGTTCACACAGTCCCAAAGACCAAAGAGATGCATACCTGGAGAATGTCTCTGTTGTCATGGGCAGGCTGGGAGTTAGAGACTGCGACTGCCAGCTTATTGAGGTTTGTATTGAAATGTGCATCTTTATGTTTATTTTGTGATGTGCCAACATAGTTGGCCATCTCACATGATAACCAGAATGACAAATCAGGTCAATGTTTTTCTCATTACAAGCCATGTGGCCAAGCCGTTGAGGTATGTGTACCTTTCCCTTGCTCTTTTCCATCTAGTTTGTCATTTGTCACATAATCTGTATTTTAAAAAAAAATTATCCCTTTTCATAACTTTTAGGAATTAGCCTTTGGTTGGTGATGTTTCTTCAACTAGTTGTGAGTGCTTCATCTATCAAAACACTTTAGCCATAGTAGCTATCAACTAAGGCAAGAGACAGTTGTAGAATCACCCCCCCCCCCCCCCCCCCCAATTCTGCAGACTAAGATAATTGCTTGATGAGGAAGTGTATTTTTTCAGCTCAGCCTGGGAAAAGCCCCCCCGATGCCCCCTCCCCCCCTGTTCCCCTATAGTAATGCTACAGTAGAGCTCTAAGTGTAGTTAATTCCCTGTGTGGGTTCCAGATCCCCATTCTGGTGGGGGGGGGGGGGAGAGTAGACCCCTGCTTCCCAAACAAGCATGTCATAGGAGTTGAGTAATTAGTGCTTTCCTTCAAAGTAGGTGTGCATCCGTGTGAGAGGGAAGGAACCAACAGTCTGCATACAAATATGCCGAATCTGTAAAATGGATGTGTGTGTGCAAAACTCAGGTTCTGAACCAAGATTAATGTCCACAAGTGGACAAATAACCATAACTTTCTGGTGGAGTTTACAGCGGGTGAGTGTGAAGAAGAAGAAGAGTGTAGGTAATCTGGCAAGTCTTGCTAGCATTTAAGTCAAATATTTGCTAAGGTTGAGCTGATCACCATTATTGCTTGTCTGTTTCAGAACCTGACTGAGGTGGTCAAGTTGTCAAAACTGGAGCATCACATCTGGCAAGGCCATGAGCCAGGTATTCGTTTTTTTAATTTTATTTATTAAGAGCTCATTCCCTTGCATATTGAATGTTGAAACAAGAATCAACATCACAGCACTCAGTACACTCCCATAAGTGCTCCATCCCCATCTTCAGCAGCAAGTAAAAAGTTCCAATACCTATGGCACCAGTATCCGTCTAATTGTATATCTGTCTCATCCTTTCTCTGAGTCTTGAGCGTCAGCCAGATCCCCTGGTAAGATGATTGATTTTGATTCCCTTGCAGATATTATCAAATGAAGATCCATTGATAAAACTTCACAAATTCCTTATCACACTCTTAAGGTGTCAGGCAATCTCATTGGGTATGCACCAGGACTCCATTTGCGGAGGGCTGGGGGAGTAGACTCACTGCCTGCTAAAAAACCTGTTGTAAAGGATCTGAAATTAGATGTTTGGCCAAAAGGTACAGATATCACAGCTTCACTGTAAAACACAACATGATGTGCCACCACCTTTTAAGGGTGAACACAGGAGAAGAAAAGGAAGAAGACATAAGCCAGATAGTTTTTCTTCCTATAGGGCTATATACATGAGAATGACTGGACATTTGAGTCATACCCATTATCCCACTGAACTGTTCCTCCCCTCCTTTTCTACTGTCTTGAAAATTAGAGCTAATGTTTGATTGTTAAGTTGATGTTTTTTGATGAGCATTTTCAGATTAGTTAAATATAATTACTGTCTCAGCTGCATTTTGACTCATCTGGTTCTAACTTTGAAGCAATTTCCTAGTTTGGAATTAAGTCACATATCCTTCAAATGACAGTCCATAGCAACCACAGTATTTGGCTTTTTGTGGTTTTACTTTACAATTATTACAGTCAGTAGTTTGCCTTTGCTTTATAAACAGTCAACGTACAATTTCTGGTCTCCCACAGCTAGAGTTGAACCAGGTATGTTGAAATGTTTATGCTGAAATTATAAACCTACATGTTGACAATTATTTCTGTTTCTCTACAATGAGATTATCTCTGATCCTATTGTTTCTCTTCTGTTTAGGTAGCATAGTCACCCCAGTAACACTACAGCAGAGAGTCTGCGAGAGGTTTCGGTGCTAATGTTTTTCTGTGCAAGAGAAATCAACAGTTATTCTGAGCTCATCAGGTCCACCGGAGAAAACCTGCAAAGCAAACTATAGAGCACCAATAAAGATCTCAGATGCAGTCTGCTCAGGGTTCGTAGTGGACCGGGAAATCGGGAAATTACCGGGATTTTTTTCGTTGACCTTGAACCGGGATTTTTAGCTTATAAAAGACATTCCGACCTTGAAAAGCCTTGAATTTTGACCGCGGCAATGAAATCGTCAGAAATCCTGTGTTTTTTTAGCACAGGCAATTTTGGGGAGGCCATTTGGCTTTTTGGGCCATTTGGCTTGTTTTTGGCTACTTTCGTTGTATGGTCGTTTCAGGTGTGAGGGCAGCTGATTATTGGCTATTTTCAGCCAAAATGGCTTGTTAAAGGCCAGGGGAGGACGGGCTGTGTTGCAGATCATGAATACATGCAGACAGCAGCGGTGTGGCATGGGGCGGGAAGTAGCAGCTTCCGGTCTGGCGTGTGTGTGTGTGTGCCTTTGTTTCTAGCAAGTTGGGCAGAATGAACAGTATAAATCGTTTATGGCCGTGGTTTCTAGAAAGGATTACATTGGGAGATGGTGGGGCTCGGTTCAGTTGTATTTATAAATAGAGTCGCTAAGCAAAGTGACCGTCAGCTGGATTTCCCAGTTCTATTTTTGGCCTGGATTTATCTTTACAGTGTGTTTGGCGATCAGTATTGTAATTCCTAGAGATTCCCTCTTCTGTTGTCTCACCCCTCTCTCTCTCTCTTCCCTCCCTCTTTCACTCTTCTACCTATTGCTTCTTCCTTCCCGTCTCCTGCATTGTCTCTAACCCTCCCTTCTGATCTTCATCTTCTTCTCTTTCTCTCATAACTTTCCTTTTACTCTCTCATTTCCTGTCCCCCCTCCCCCTTTTTCCTATTTTATTTCTTGTTTAAATGTTTAGTAAATGTGCAGCTCCATAACTCTTCCTAGCAACTCAAGTACACAGGAAGTTGTATTGGGGGGGGGGGGGGGGCATTCTGTGTGAACATAGTGGATATTTTCTTTTGATGTGTTTGTTTTCCTAGCGGCCTTAATCTCTGTCCATCTCCCTTCCCGCCCCCTCACATTTTGTCCTACCTGTTCCTCACTCTCTGCCTGTCTGTGTCACTGCTTTCCTCTTTCTCTTTGTATTTGCCACTCTCCCTCACTCCCTCCCTCTCTCTCTTTCTTTCTCCATACCTTCAGCTGGTGTAGAAGGTTAAGTGTTGCCTAGTGCAGAACATTTCATGTCCACCATTCACCCTCCCTCCCCACACACATTAAATATTATATCTCTCTTTCTTTCTCCATACCTTCAGTTGGTGTAGAAGGTTATGTGTTGCCTAGTGCAGAACATTTCATGTCCACCATTCCCCCCTCCCACACATTAAATCTATGTGTACTTTTAAAAAAACACATTTGCCGTCACCCCCCCCCCCCCCCTTTTTAATCCTCCCACATTGATGACACCTAGGGGAGGGAGTGCACCCCTTCCTGCTACCTTCTTTCCTCTATATCTCATCTTATTTCTTACTCCCTTCTTTCTCTCCCTGTCTCATTCCCACTTTATTTTCTCAAACTTTATTCTCTCACCTCCTCTGTCTCACCCTTACCACCTCAGCCTTTTACACCACTTTCCACCACCCCCTCTCTCCCCTCCTTTCTGTAATTGGAAAACCAGAAATAAAACGAAGTCCACTGCTGCCCTGACCTATTTATGTGTCTGACCTATTTATGTGTGTGGGTAAACTTCTCTATTTTCCACCAGTGGTGGGTTGGGATGCCCTGAACTTTTTTTTTCTTTATAAAATGACCTTGGCTCTCAGGTCACCAGCCTTAAGTGTAAGAAATTGAATTATTGTTGTCACACACAGATAGGACAAGCAAGGGGCAGTAGGGGTTAGCACTGTTGTTTTTGGACCACGGCCACATTCACATTGGGAGAGGGTAGGAACCGGAAAAGTGGCCTCACTTAGAGATTTCCTAATTCTATTTTTGGCACTCATTGTTCTTACACCCCCCCCCCCCACCCCCACAACAGTGTCTTACCTTTCTTCTCTCACCCCTTCTCTTTCCTTTGATCTTCTACTATTCTCCTTTCTCTCTCCATTCTTCCTCTCTTCCTTTCCTTGCCCTTTCTCCTGTCCCATCTCTTCTTTGTCTCCTCTCCATCCTGTCTTTTCATTTTCTCTAGATTTCCTTACCCCCTCCCCTCTCTCATTCTCTCTCTCTCCCCCCCCCCCCCCCCTCCCCATTTTTTTTACTGGTTCATCTACATATTTATTTGCCCCATAACTATCTTTTCCTAGTGGTTGTGTCCACTACACTTGAAATTGTGTGGGGGAGAGGGGGGGGGAGTAGGTGGCTGTTTTTTTTCTTTGATGTATCTTGTCTCCCTTCCTGCCCCTCTCTCTTAATCTGTGTTTGTCACTGCCTTCCTTACCCACCTCTCTCTCTCTCTTGCTTTATGTCTGTTTGCCTCCCTTCATCACTTCCTCTTTGTATACCTCCCTCCCATTCTCCTGCTCTGCCTTTTTTCTCTTTCTTTGGTTCTCTCCCTCTGTCTGCTTGCCTCTCTGTGCTGTCCCTTTGTCTCTCTCTCCTTTATGTCTACATCTCTCTCTGCTTGCATCTGCTTCTCACCCTGTCCGTTCTCTCTCCCTCTGTCTCCCTTCTTTCAACTCTTTGTCATTTTTTCCTCCTTCCATATCTCTGTTTCGTTCCCTTTTTCCTTCTCTTTTCATCTGCCGATCTCTGTATCTGCATTCCCTCTTTCTGTATTTGTCTCACTCTCTGTCTTTCGCTGTCCCTTCCCCACTTTTCCTCATCATGTCTCCATCCCTCCCTCTCATTTTTTTCTCCTTCCCCAGACTTCTTTTCCTTCTTTTCTCTACCTTCATCTGTCCATCTTTACACTGTCTCTCCCAGCCTACCTCAGCATGTGTCTTCCTCTCTCTTCATGACTCTCTCTCTCCCCCCTAACCCTCTCAGGTACCAGGTCCAGAACAGACAGGACTTCAGTTTGCTGCCCTCTACCACCAAGCCTTAAAAAAATTTCAAACACTATATCAAGCTCAGGGGCCGACCAACACGAAGATGGGCACAGGATATAAGTGAATCCTTGAGTATAAAAAAGTACATGAGGCGGGAGAGCTGGTGAGAGACCGAGGTTTTTTTGTCAGGACAAAGGAAATGCTACATGATGATGATATATGTGCTGGTATACCAACACATGTGGCACAAATGAAGTACCTTGTGTGCTCAGTACACCCTTGAACAAGGCAAAAATCTTGTTTCAGTATTACACCGAGACAACCTTGAAAAAAACTAAGGAGACCTTGAAAAAGACCTTGAAAAGCCTTGAAATTGATTGGTAAATTTGGCTATGAACCTGCTGCTTGTAACTCATGCTGAAACAAATGCATCGCTGAAGGAGAATAAGTTCAGAGCTACAACAGCCATGATTTGTTGTATAATAAATATTCTTCTTCGTCTTCACTTCCTCTTTTATCACTTCCAGTTTCGATGGAGATATTAGGTTCTGTTTCTTGCTTTTTAGGTCACATCGACCATAGACACATCATGCTGTTATAGAGTTTTTCTGATGTTATCTTTCCATGTTGTTCTTGGTCTGCCTTGTTTTCTAGGTCCTTCTCTTTTTGGTATGCCTTATATGTTATGGTGTCCCAAGGCATTCTCTCCATGTGTGCAAACTATTTACGTGCTGTCTTTGTGTGTAATTTATAGCTGGGTTCTGTGCCGACTTGTTCTCTCATGACCTGATTCCTGATTTTATCGTTTCTGGGACATCTCATTTCCATGGTTACTAATGTTTTTTTTCTGATTTGTTATGAGTGACCACATCTGGCACTGATAGCATAGGCTTGGAATAAGTATGCTTTGTGTGAGATGTTTTTGTGTGTGCTGATTTGTGATTGTCTTATGTTATAATATGAGGGCTACCTGTCCCAATACTTGGTTTGCTTTACTGCATCGAATTGTATATGTATTCACACAATCAGAACCAGTTACACTGAATTATTTGACAAATCCTCTTGCTTCTAAATGATGAGATCCATATCTGAGATCAGTATGTCCAAGAGTTCATGATCCAAAGTTTGTATTTATAGCTGGTAATGCCTATAGTCTCTATGCTTTATTCCGTCTGGGTTATAATTTGTTTCTTCTTCTTCTTTCTGTTCGTCCTAGTGATATAAATGTTTTGTGCCTGTTTACAGCAAAGCTTGAGATATTTACACCTTTCAGCCAACACATAAAACTTCGTGGAGCATTAGTTGACCGGGTTAACTTCCCGGATAGTTTCCAGGAACATGACATAGCATAATTTGTTTCCTTGCAAGACAGGTTTAAGTTCCATGAGCTGGATATGAAATGTCCTGTCATTTAATGTCTAGATTCCACATTCAAGAATTTAACATGAAATGTCATGCTAGTTAATACAGAATGAGGGCTGGTATCAAAATTTTAGAACTACTCTCTCTCTCTCTCCCTCTACAGTTAACTATCCATAAATATATATTTTGGACTTCAGCATCAACTGTGATATTTCCCTGTGTGGCTTCTGTGGCTCCACTTTGGATAACACAGAATAGACCCACCGCCCCCCTAACAGGCATGTCATAGACAGCGACTAATAAGGGGTGTTTTCTTTAAAGTTCATTTGCCTGAGAGACAAGAAACCAACAGTCTGCATACAAATAAAACAACTAAAGTTCTAGATCAAGATCAAAGTCAAAGAGTGAACGTTCCATCTGAGTTAACATTCTGTGAACGCTTAGGACAAATAGAACTATGATGTTGTTAATACAGATGTCAATATATTAATGCTAACAGTGAAAGAACTAAGGGATTTTCTTCTTATAGTCTGTATCATATGCTTTTAATAATGATGACTGTCCACAACTGTGTGTCTTGTGACTGTCACTTGTTTATGATGCACATGTTTTTCCATGCCATGAT